ACAATATCTCTGATATTTCTGAAGTATATTTGCAGCAGTCTCGAGAAACATTTTTGATGTCTAGCTAGGGTGTTTTTGCTGCACGATGTAACTTTCCTTAACTGAGTTTAAATTATTTTCGCATGTATGGTCAGTTTATCTGTGGTATAAGAATGGCCTGTCTAGTGACGTCTCCGAGAAGTCATGAGTTGTAAACTATCAGTAGGGGCATCTAATGACGCGAATTTCAGATGTAAATACTATAAGCTCGCCTCCGTCAATCATCGAACACAAAAAACCGTCACACATCCATACAGACGCCATTCACAAATTATGTGACCTTGACCATGAGCGCCCATATAGCAAAATCCAGCATGTTTGGTTTGGTTTCTATGTTGGGATGTTTTGAAGAGCATAAAAAAACTCACACGCCACTGCTTACCTAAAGATTGGGTATTTTATTAAGAATATTTCACTTTGAAGCAGAAGCCAGGGGGGCATATGCCCCCTTTGCCCCCACCCCAATGGGCGCCCTTGCCCTTGACCACATAGTAAGCGATGTTTAGTGAATATGGTATACCCCATTCGTAGTCCATTTACGCCCAGACAAAACACAACATGTCCAAAAGCGAGATTGTTCAGGTCCGTATTTTCCTCAATGGTCTTGGAATAATCTAACAAAATAAATGATTATTTTTATAGAAAGAAGTGCACATACTTTTCACAATTCTTTATTCGCACTTGAATCATCGTCTGAATGGTTAATATTAATCATTACGTGTTCAGTTTGAATATTGATCCTATTGTCCAGATCCCATATCTTTCTTTCGATTGTCTCTTGATCGTGATGGATGCAGTCTTTCCAATGGTTTGCCGTCACTCTGTTGACAGCTTCATAAAACAAATTTGTCATGTCAGAAAGTTTGAATGTTCTATTGTAGTTTTTTATATTCGGCCAAATCATTTCAATGGGTTTGGATTCGCAGTAGCCTTAAAATGATCTTAATTTGGTTTTTAGCCAGTTCTTTAATAACATTAAGATTATATTTAAATTTGTGCTGCCTGACTAGATGGATAAGTTCTGATTTGACCATGTTTTCATTGAAACTAATGTCTTTTGATAGGAGTCATTGTTGAATTTCTGCCTTTCTTGTGGACACTGTGGGAATTTTTTCTGGTTTTCTAGTGTGGTATGCAGCATTATCAAGTACAATGACGTCACTATCGTTAAGCTATGGGAGCGTTTCTTCAAACCATCGTTCAATTACTTCATATAATATTTAAGAAAACTAATAATAAATAATACAAGCAGAGTATCTAACAGGTGTTGGTTCCAAAACTGCCAGTTATAGCTAAGCTTAGTGTAGCTACGGTTTCAGCGTGAGCTCTTAGATTCAGTCTACTTGACACCATTTTTACAACACAAATGACGAATTGGTACACGTACCTAACGGATTCTTCAGGCCGGTGGTTAGTCCATCTAAGAAGGCTTGTCTTGCTGATTTAATTGTAGAGTCAGCCCATACTTTAGGTTTTGTATGTCCTGCATTTATCCAGGTTTCATCCAAGTAATAAATCTTCCTGCCCTGGTCGCGGTATTTCTTTATTCATTTTAAATTTCTTCTCTATAAAATAATCTCTTGGTTGTCCATCAAAATACTATTTCTGCCCCGTTTTCATACTCAAAATGAAGTTCTTTGAGTAAACTATAGGATGTGGTCCTTTTGAAAGTAGGTAAGTCTTCATCACTATTAGCCTCCTCTAATACTTTGTCTATGGTGGGAAGTTCCTGCCTTTCAAAAAATTGATGGACTTTGCTTCTGATGGCATTGCGATCAAAGTTATCAACTGTATCCACAGCTTCGTGTAATGGAGACAATTTTTTGTTTTTTTTATATTCTTCAACAATGTTAAAAATTGTCTTAGGACATAAGCCTGTTTGGTTCACCATACGTCTTTCAATATCATGAATTTTCATTTCAGGATTCTCTAAAATTTCGCTCTTATAAACGTTAAGGACAATTTCTTTTGCTTGAATATTCAAATGTCGCTTCGTGTCACGTTTTCGGGGAGGAGACATTACTGAAGAGGAAACATGGCTGAAGGAAGCATTGGGAGAAGTATTCTCAGGTTCATCTGTTGTATCCGTAGACGACATGCTATGTATGCACCGAATATGAACAGCAACTGCCGGCGTCGGCGTGCCGGCGATACCTCCAGCCTGAGTTCTATCCTGTCGAATCCTGCACTTGTTCATAGTTTTATGGCTGACTGACCAGTAGCTATTGCAACGCTTAGGTGGCTGCCGCTTTGCCGCGCTGCATCTTTGTTGTGCCGGAGCGTAAATGGACTACGACTAGGGTATATACAGTCCAAGCAACAAGCCGTCAACAAGCTACGAGGAAATAAATATCTCTCAGAGGCCCTTTTGATCCACGGGAGCATTTACTTATCGCTCCCGTATACATTTTAGCCCCAAATTTTTCTTTCGTGAACTGTATGAAGTAATTGTTTTGACAAAATAGCACATGAAACGTGTCTGAGAACTCAGTGAGCTGGAACTTTATCCAAGTTTATCCGTAAAAAAATGGCGTCAAGTATGTTGACTTTGGACCTCTGCAACGCTGTCATAAATGCACAAAGGATTATGTACGGCACATGGGTAGTTCCTCTTAGAAAAATGTTAGCTATGAACATGTATAACAAAAAAATAAAATGGATGAAGTCTCATCGCCGCCCAACTAATTCATAAATCTATAAATGGCCGAATGACTGATCCGTCGTTCCTGAGCTCTAGATAATGTAATACAAAGAATGCAGACTTACCAGTAGAAGAACAACTCCATCAAAAAAAAAAACGCCACGGTGGCTGAGATATGATACCTCTGATGGCTAAAATGCTACCTGCCATTTGGATGCGATCATCCATTCATTTCCTGCGGTAATAGTCTAGGAACCATCTCCGCATTTGCTGATTAGGTTTTTTGCACAACCTTAATAAAAACGAAAACCAATTCTTGACGCAATTGTAGGTCTGGCAACATGCTATGAATGATATTCTGAGAAAAAAACAATCAAAATACTACCCAGGTAGTCGATTGCCGGCATCCGATCCCCTCAGAAGTGGGTCGCATGACTGTGGTATAGAGGGCGATTCACTATGAGAAGTTGGTTCCTGAAGCCCCCCTAATGGTTTTAGACAAGTATTTTGTTCTAGCATATTTGGAACTCGTTTTTTCCTATAGGAGCTCAGGTCGAGGTGTAATTGACGAATGTGATACATTCAAAATTTATCTATGATTTAGGAGTGTAGTTAAAAACGCGATATCACAAAAATATGATGTGTAGTCTAACTTCAAATTTCCAACATAACCCATGATCATTTTGGAGGCTTGATAGTGCCTTTTCGGAGCTTCGTTGAATTTGTAAATATTTCCTCCTATTCTGTAACAAAGAACTTGATTTAGCTGGCTTGAGTAGACAACGTCGCAAAAACCACTGAAAACTGAAGTCCTGGGCGTCAGTTTCACTCATCCTTGTGAACAGTTATTTGCTGATCATTTTCCTTCACTTTAAACACAAGTCCGCATTTATTTGCAATTTAACACGTTGACTGCCACGTTGGTCCTATAGGACCAACACTCATGTTGCCTCAGAAGACCACATTGGTCCAATAGGGCCAACATATATTTTGTCTTTACAGGCTATGTTATTCCCATGGGGTCAACGCATTTTCTAATAGCTGCTGGGCCGTTGGCGCTCATTTACTTATGTACACCTGCATAAATGGACCAACATGGCCTAGAAGTTATACGCTGCACATAATTTCTTAGATTTTTCCATAGTGAGGAATGTGGCCTCGATGGGTCCAACGTCTTTTTTATATGGTGACCCACTAGTGCTCAATGTAAAATATATGTTTGGCGTAGTGGACACATGTTAAAAGATATGTCTGGCAGCGAACGTGTTAAATATGTCAAGCGGGATATAGTCAATACTAGGGCAAATGAAGCTGATTCTAAACTGAGAACAGTAACTCTTCTATATATTTATCGAAATAAAACAGAACAAAGTGCCATTTGTTACCAGAATCGGCCACTCCGAAAGTGAAAACATTTCGCAATGGTCGATTCTGGTAACAGATGGCCTTTGTGATGTCTTATTTTGATAAACTTTCAGTTTTCGATCATTGGCCTACCTGAGACCAAGCCTACCCTGAGGAGTTGCCAAATAGCACGAAACAGATGTCCATGGTTGACCGTCTGTGGTCCGTCAGACGAAAGCTATACCTAATACCTATTACTAATTTGATCTATTTGTTTAGGAAAGTTACTAATGGTGCACCATTCATACCATATCCTTTGTAGTTTATAGATGTCTCATTTCATTTCTTCGACGTTATTTACTATTTATAATTTCAATTTTTCACCTAACTACAGATACGAAAATTTAAAAAGATTTGCCTTTTATACTTAAATCAGCGCCCTCACATCCATTTTCAAACCTGTGGCCATACAGTATATTTCAAGTTTTAACAAAATCGGCACAGTGGTTACTGAGGTTACGTTATGACAAACAAGACAGATGAATCATCGCCAGTCAGTAATGGAGATACTAAAAGCTATTTTTCTACTCGCACTTATGTGCTCTTAAAGTATGACAACATAAAGCAAAAAAAAGCGCGGTACCTCTTCAAGTCAGGCACCTAAAAAAACGGATCCGAGTTCTTAGAAAAATGTTGGCATCTTTAGAAATCATAAGATCAAAAGCTTTTTCGCGAGTGCACCTTCTAGTGGTTACTCTATATCCTTTGGTAATAAGGTCTATCAAGTGACATCTCGCACGAATCCACAATGTTGTTCAAAAGTAGCCCGAGTATTAACAAGCTCTCCATATATTCAGGTTTTTTCACAGAATTCGTATATATGCTGTGTGTATATTTTCGTCCCGGAAGAGTATGAATAATGCCAATAACTAGTTTAATAGAAATGAAAAGAAGTGGCATGACGAAATCTTTTTAGTTTTAGGTTTTCTCCTGCCTTCAATCGATGCTTTACAACTAAAGAGCTACATCTCTGGCCATGGACTTCATGGTACGATTACCTTTGCGAAGGTAGATGCTGGAATAAAAATCACTACTGATCTCAAACCCACGCTAGAATATCCTAATCAAATATGGTCTTGGTATATCACGGAGTTCCAGGTTGATTATTCCGAACTTGAAAATAGGTCAGTATAACACAAAATATTTGGTTCGTCAAACAAAAAATCAGTTGAATACTGAGCACTATTAATTTTTAAAATACTTCTTTTATTTAAATCATATATACTTGTCTAATACTATAGTACTGTTATCAAAAACAAATGTGGAAGAACTTTCGACTTTTCCGATGTCTTGTTACTTTTTTCGAATATCAACGTAATATTTTAACATACTTCATTTTCAATACTCACTTCATTGTGGATAGATTGGTTATTCCCGTGTATATCATTTGTAAAAAACACTAAAATACTGCTTTTTGGTTTGCTTTAACTAGGTGTACAAATGAGAAATTAGGCAAACGACTAGTTAATCTAGAAGATATATTTGGTTACCTGTTTATACCAGACAATTCTACAACAGAATTCACAACAGATAAAATTCATTTAACTGGACCGACTGGGCTATATGGAAAATCACTCCTGCTGATGAATGTGGAAACGAATGGAGTCATCTGTGCCTCAGTATTTCTAGTAAGTATTTAATTTCTGTCGGTGGTTACTCAAAATACATTAATCAAAAAGAAAATTTCATATAACTACATACTGTGTTTTTTTTTTGGAATCGAGTTATGTTTTAAGGCGTTACATTACATAACATGTACATCACGACAAATCCTGCCATTCATTTCCGTCGGTCTGTCTGTGATCTGTGTGGCAATTCCTTGACCTCTCGAAAAGTATATAGCTCGGATTTTGATGGAATATTTACATTAAATTGCTATCCAAGAACAAAAAACGTTGTTTTTCGAAATTTCCGAACACTTCAATGCTTTTGGCTATAAAAAACTAAAAAAATATACGATTTTTGATTATTTTCAAATTAGTTGATACTAAGTTGGGATATGATAAATATTATTAGACTTTGTTTAAAGCCTTAGGCAAAAAAGACTCGTCTCTGGTTTGAGCTCTATATTATTTCTTTCAATGCGTGGGAAGTACTGAGTGAATATACTCAAAACAACTCAATTTCGCGGAAACAATGATAGCAGAAATAATTGCAGTATTTACGAGAATTTTATTTTCCCAGGCAGACAAATCGAAGGAAAATAGCGCAACGGCCAGGTTCAGTAGTCCCGTATCCGGAAATGTACACTTCCGGTGGCTCCGGTCAAACGATAGTTCCCACAATGACCTAATGATAACGGCTGATTTGTACCACGTGCATAATAAAGAAAACGTCAGCAAGTCGTTACAATATACAGAACATTCGTGGAAGGTATACGTCACTGATGTTCTTGAATCTGATAATGACAGGTAAGTGTTTGTTACTACGTGCGTATTCTTCTTTTCGGGCAATAGACACCTGGAATAACCCTCCATATACAGGATGTATCAAAATCACATAGCCATCTCTTGGGTGCCCACAGGTATAAAAAATGCTTCAAGCTCCTTTAAAAATGTCCTGTGGTCTTCCCTGGAAATACCGATCCCTAAGGGATGCTACTGGAAATACGTTTTTTTAAAATAACTTCTGAAAGACACTGGGCAATTCAACGGAATCTTCACAGCGTAGTAGCCATCAGTTGGCACCTTAATGTGGTGATGTCCATTGAAAACAATTGACTAATTCAGATGCCAGGGATGGACTAGCCGTAAAACAATATTGCTTATATTTCCTGACCCTATACAATAATGGCTGAAAAGTGATATTTTTGGAAAACATGTAGAAACAGTTGAAGAAACATCTGAAAAAATTTAATCTTGTTTAATTATGATAAAATGAACAGTTTTTATTGATTCACACCGGTGATTCACACTAGAACCGAAAATGTATATTCTGGATTACGAATATGTTATCAAAATTACTATGTTTCCAAAACGGCGGAACCAGTGGATTGAATTTAGTATTAATAAATGGTAAAACAATACTCAAATAATTTTATCAAATCAGTATATCCGTTCAGCTTAAATATCAGGCTTTCCGAAAATGCCCACGTTAAACCATTATTTTACTGGGGGTTACATATTTTCTATGAAGACCATCATGTGAGATCCCAATTAATTGGTTACTATGATATTTAGCTGAATTATATGATATCATTAAAAAATTATGTAAGAAAAACTGGTTTTCCAGTAGGGCCTGTATCTGTGTACCTCTGCTTTGATAGGAATTTGTGGAGTCATTTTTGAGATAGTGTCATCTTGTTCCGGTCACCCTGTGTAGTCCAATCACATATCAATCAGTTGATGCTTAAAAAGACACAAAAAAACAGATTTTTGAATGTATCTCTGTTTCAACTCTTTCCACGACGAAATATAAATGAGGAGCTTGCGTTCAAAACCGCCAATATCCATTATTTGCGTATTTTGACATTCATTGATTTTGTCCAAGTTTGAGGAGCTTTATCGAATGACACGTTTATTGGGTTCTAAACCACATATTTTGTGTGTTTAAATTGCATCCAAAGTTGTGGTTTTGCATCAAAACCGCCAATATCTGATTTTGTGATCAAAACGGCTTATATCCAGGATCAGCTGATTCGGATGGCGCACGCGTATTATCCGCTAGGTATTAGAATTTAGTACGGAAAGCAACGAAAATCATGGAGCAAGAACTTATAAGCAATGAAGTGGGAAATCAATTCACAAGACGCCGGAGAAAGGATCTGACAGCAAGCCAATAAGTCCCCTAATAAAGTACGTGAAATTTCCGTTACTTTCTCCGTTCGTGGGCACATCTTCATGCTAGCCGATCGTTGTTTTGATAGAGTTGCAAAAATTACTTAAGAAGAGTCCAGTGATAATTTCTAAAGAAAAGTATATCAAAATTTACAGTGAAGTTGAGAAAGTAAAAGTTATAGGAACCGACTGGAAAATAGTTGATATTAAATAGCTTGAAAGGATATTAAAAAAATACATGCTATTTCAGAAATAAAAAGGATATTCATTAGAAAAACTAAAAAATTGAATGAAAATGAAAAAATCACGATAACAACGTATCTGTATTATAGAGATTTGAATGGAAAAGGGGAGAAATTGTTGAAAAAAGGAAAATCCGACCAGATTCAACCAAAGAACTGTTTGCGTGACCGAAAGGAAAAAAAAGTCTGAAGCATCTCTTGCAAGTATAGTTTGGCTTAGAATGGGAATCGAAAAAGGATTTGGAATAGTATAAGAAACTTCTCGCTCCCACTATCGATGGCGCTGCAATCGAGGGTAAAGAGGCAGAATGCCTCGATGAAGAACAAGCACTTCATATTTAAGCTTGTACAATTCAATAAAATGCTTCTATTTTTTCCTCAAATTTCACCTGTTTTGAAACAAAACCACCTATATCCAAAATATTTTATTTTTTCCTAGAGATTCCTAAACATAATCATAAAAATATTGTACTAGATTGGATCAATACATTAATATACACAGAATAGATATTTTTTGCTTCTCATAAATGTAAAGGCGAATGTATAAGAAGTTTTTTCCTTCTTCTGAAAAATTTATAAATCTGGATATAGGCGGTTTTGAACGCAAGCTCCTCAAATATGTAACAAATTGAACTGGATGAAAGTTCCTGTTATTTTAGATAGGTATTAATTAGTTTTGAAAAATTTATTTATTTCAATTTATTCACAGGCATGAAGACAACTGCAATATCCTACAACTGGTATTCGATCCTGACGACAGAGGCTCGGGAAAGAGCGTGGGGGATCTGGATTCTAGACTAGGAAAGCTCAAAGTTTCGCGAAATTACAACAGATATAAGTTCAAAAAGTTGTATAGAGACACCGAACTAGATCTAAATCCTGGACCGCAAAGATCACTATATTTAGTGCTTTTTGAGAGTAAACACGAAGACGTATTTCTTGCTTGTGCCAAAATACGCTACGATAAGTCTATAGGAGCTAGGTGAGTGTTATCTTGAACTGCCAACCAATGACTAATGTTTGAGAAAATACAACTTCGATATTCAGTTTCATAAAATATTTTTATTTAGATAAAATAAAAGTTGTTGAGAAAGTACCTGGCAAACCTAAAAGGGTGGTTTCTTGAACAATTCTAAGACAAGGAGTGTGTGTCAAGATAGGTCTGATAATGCCTTGTTTTCTAGATACATTTTATCAATTATTCAATTAATAAAACCAATCAATTATTATCAATTATTCGTAAAATTTTAATTATTTAACCGATTTTATTTACATTTTTTACATGCTCACGTCAATAGATGTCATGATGAAAATTTAAATTGACCGACTAAGAAAAACACGTTAACAGAATCCAAAATCCCAGAGGAAAGAACTTATCAGATTTAAATCCGGTGGTCTATATGGATGGCTACGGCCGTTTGTTGGTTTTACTAAAAAGTTTTTGTTTCTTGATTTTCTGAATTTTCCAGGAATGCACCAATTTTTTTGTACAGGCTAACAAAATCGACTTAAAGATTTGTACGGGAAAGCGAATTTTCAAGAACAGTTTGAAAACGAAGCATTAGATCCTATGTTTTTTCTGAATCCTTCAATGAATTGCCCTTGAGATTGGGCCAGATACTTTTTAACACCATGTATGATGTTTTAGAGTTATCATCCAGTCTGGTGGAATAAAGGGCGACATTCTACTTACGCAGCACTCAAAATTCGAGCCAACATTCTTACACTTCAATTTAACAACTTCAAGAGGGGATCTCGAAACTCGGATTGTATACAGCTCAACAGTTGCTGGATATAAGATACATGAGTTGCCAGTGAAACCAGCTAAGAGTGTTGGGCAAAACGAAAATTCGTGTTTGACCACCAAATTCATCTACAATCCCTTGAAAATTGACTTGAACAGTATGCCTCCAAATGGTGAGTATTCAGATAATGGATTTTTGTTTATGTCCGACTCTATTTTCTCTTGCGATGATGAGACACAAAACCTTCAAAACCAAGCAATATCTCCTATGGAGAAGGACAGAGGCAGGACGGGTACAACTAATATGTTTTTTCGTAATGGACCCGCACATGCCAAAAACAGATTGTCTCAATTTTAAAATGTTTCACGGATAGAAAATACTTCTCCGTCAATTGACGCGGGAAGACAATAAGTTTTAGCTGCTTTAATATTAAGGTTATTTTCAGGATATGGTACACAAGAGCAGTACGCTGTAGGTGACCTCTCTGGGAAATTACTGGGGCGAAATAATGAGACTCTCCTGGTACCTGGAGGGCAAGAGTTGAGTGGAGATTACTGGGATGCTTTTTTACCTCTTCAAGGCAGACACTCAGTTGTACATCGATCTTTAGTTATTTACAAGTAGGTTTATTTTATATCTGATTTTAATGTACCATTCTCACGTTTTACGAATCTGCAAAGTTTGATTTTGTGGTTGCTTGCTGCTTCTATTATTATACAAGATTTTCTAATAAGAACAGGTCGATTGTGAATTGGAAAAAAAAACATATTGTACGTTTTGTATCAACCAAATTACTTTTTAATTTATGGTGGCGTGGTTCAACAGGCCAATGTGATCTACGGTTCTTTATAATGAAAATTCTCCAGACAAACTGTTTAATTGACCACGTTTTCTCGGTGCGTCTTCATCTTGACTTAAAAAATGGAAAAATTTCAAGTGTGCTCTGGTTGAATATTTATATAGAATGGAATTGAAGGGAGATGAAATTCATACCAACTCAAGATCGATCAACAGTACATTTAATTGGATTACTGAATTTAAACGTGATGGTACAGATATCCACGACGAGGCAAGCAGTGGACGCTCGAAAACTGCTACCAACGAAATTATTGTTAATTCTATCCGCATTATAATTTTGGATAATAAACGAGTGATTACCTATGAAATTGCGGAGGTTCCGGGATCCTAAAATGAACTTGTGTTTCATATTTTTTTAAATCAATTTGGGTCTACAAAGCACTTGGATGGGTGGGTACCGCATTCGCTAGCTAGATCTGAAACAAATTCGAGTAAAACTTTCTCAGCTGATTTTATGCTGATGACGAGAGACGAGGTTATCACGGCTTACGGGCTCAACAATCTTGTAAAGTTTAATGCTTCCAAAACACAGCGCTCATCCGGTTTCGCTGGATGGCCTAGTTCTACCAGATAGCCGATCATTTCGCCTAGTCGGAGTCCAGATCACCGAGGACTGGCACGAACACATCTCGTCAATAGCGTAGTACTGCTCACATGTTTTGGGTGGTGCTGGGCCGACTACATGATCCTTGCTCGATGCTGACCAATTGATGATTCTTCTCTAACGGACAGTCTCAGGACTCTTTCGCAACCTGCGGGCCATCTGCAATTTAGCTCTCTTCTACCGCTACGCCTACGTGATTTGCTCCTCAAAGCTCTCCTCCATGATGCCGCCGCGCGATGTGCCTGCCAGATAGACACGCCTGAGTTTGGCCTCCCACCCTAATCGAATCGAACTTCGTAGATGCAGAACTGGCCGATACGACCGCTCCTTTGTCTTTAGGGTATCGAGATTGAGAAACAATCTACATAAAAAGGCTTTTCCTAGTTCTACTAACCTTGGGCAGTTCAAAAATTAAGATTAAAAAGGTTTCTTTAATGTCCTAATAGCATCCACGGTGCCATGGCATTTAGGCTTTCGCCTCCGCGACTGCTTCGCTGTGAAAAGACCTACGTTTACCACTATGACGTCAAATCGCAGAGTGGCTGAACCCAGTAGTTCTGCAATTCTGCTTCCTGAGCAAAGTTTTCGAAACGGTCTTACAATATTTTTTGGGAAACAAAAACGATATTATTGGTAGGCTGGTAAAACTATAGCAGCAGTCTATTAGTATAACCTTCTCGTTAAACTGGCTGCAAAAATTTGGGAGAAAAGTTCAGGTTTACAAAATAAAAAAAAATAATCTATAGGGACAATGCACCTACTCACAGAAGCAGTCTAACTATGCCGAAAATCCAACTACGTTCGAATTGCTTGAAAACCGTGTATTTTCGAGGGCTCCAGGGAAAGTATAAACAAAACCGACAACCGCTATATTGAAGAAAAACGTGTTTCCACAGATCAGCTAATCTTTTTTCATGCGAAGAAACTTTTCATAGTACCTAGTATTTCAGCCAGCAATAGAGTAATAAATATACTTGAATTTCCAGGAACACTCATTATCCAGAATCACATTTACTAGCAGATCCATGGATTTGCGGTAGCATAATTTTATATGAAACACCGGACTTCAAACATCCGAAAAAGATCTTCACAGCACAAGCTTCTTTCCGGTATCCTACGGTTAGTATCCTTATCCGCATAATAAATCTACAGGAAAGTGTACGACATAACACATATTAGAGATTGCTACATATCCGATAATTTTTATTTTTTATTGTAAAAATTATCCTCCACATGCAAAATGCGCCTCAGTTGGGCTTTTGTTTTAATCTTGTGGAACGTCCTTTATATCGGTAATAGACCATATCTTACATCAATCTTTCTTCAAAGAGATGGTCAGGCAAAAATGTCAAGGGATAGAATTTATACGGGGTATTAGGGAAATAGTATTCGTAACTTTAAGAGGTGAATCCTTGCATTATTCTAAGCAAAAAAGTTCATTATAACTTATTTTCGAAAATCAATCGTTTTCGAGAAAAGTGAGTCGTATATAATTAAATTTTCTCAAACATTTGGCAACGCTACAACGCAACTGCGACACGAGCGCACGGCGATAGCAACTGTCGAATTGTTCACATTTGTATGATATTTTTGTTGAAAATATGCCTTGAATTATTGAATACTTTTACGCAATTTTTGTGGCTAATATTTTTTATGTAATAACGCTTTCAGTACAGTACATTTACTTAAAAAAATTACAGAACTTACGGGTACGTTGCAATACACACCACCAATTCCCACGATTATCAGTCACTTATTTGAAACGATGCGCTGCACGAAAAAAGAGAAAACAACATCCGTAAATCACATAAAGTTACAGTTAAATGTATTAGTAATCGCAATAGATGTTCTTCGGTTTCCACTGCAACGTCACAATGTCTTCCACGATTGTTAAAATTAGGCACTACGCTCCCTGTGTCCAGAAGTCTAGGATACTTCTACGAATGTTCTTCTAGCTTGTAGCCTTCGATCAGGAAAACGTTCTTCGTAAATGCGTCTAGCCTCTTCAGAATTGCAATGAGCCTCCTCCCTAAATAATAAGCATATAGTGATACTCGCGTACCGAAATCATCTCTTTCGTATCAAAATGCACGCTCTGATACAGTAATACATACTGAATAATAAAATGTGATTTCAATTCGGGTAAACATTCCTTGCATTAACGTTGCAAGAAACTATCAAATGATTTTTTCCCGATGTAGGTATTATTTATTTTTTTGCCGATCGACACGATGTCGGTTGTGGGCAGCATGCGATGATACATGCACTGCAGGCGGAGAACTACGTTGCCAGTTGTGTGAGGGATTTTGTTTGTTTTTCTTCGGAAAATTGTATTTAATAAGCAAGAAAATTATTTTGTTAAAGACAGTTAATTAGTAAATAGATGTATTGATACATTTTACGCTATTAGGCATATGAATTTAAATTATTAAGGTGCAAAATTCATTTCTTTCATGACTAAAAATAAATAAGTTCTTAATTTTTTTGCTCCGAAACGGTTGATTTTCGGACATAGGTTATAATGAAATTTTTTGCTTAGAATAATGCAAGGAATCACCTCTTAAAGTTACGAATATTATTTCCCTAACACCCTGTATAAAGTTAGTGTTTTATACCAAAAATTCGATAAATGAATAAAAAAATTCTTATTTTGTTGAGCTCAGAATGTCACATTGGCTACGCTTCTGGTGAAGTTCTGTGTGTATTTCAAAATCATAACTTCAATACCTTGTAACTCGGCAAGGCAGCATTTAAGACCCATTTTCAGTAATACCTTTTTTGCCCTAGATCGACATTGTTTTGAATTTTCCTGTATGAAAAGCTGGCCCATCAGTTATGAAAAATTACATCCAGGCATCAAATTGTTCAGAAGCAGATACCAACAATCATAATTTCACATTTCTGATATTTTTGTCCATCGACATGGGAGAATGTTTATAGAAAGCGGACTTTTCTTTGATTTGTTTTTTTGATACGTTACATATCAACGTCGATAACCGAAAAGGCGGAAACATCACAACTTTATAAATAATATGATTATCGATTTGTGGGGAAAATGTGGGTTTTAGTCCAGTTAAGAGAAGCGTCAAAGATGGAAACAAAGCCAAATTACGATACATTCTGCAATAAAAAAGTGTCGTAATCGAAAATATGTTATTATTTTCCAGGTCGGTCGTATGATAATGCGTCAAGCTGCCGAAGAACCTTGGGCTGACACTACCGTTTTGGTGGAATACTTGGTACATGCTGATGGCGCAGCTTTAAACGACTCTATGGGTCACAGATGGGCGGTTCATGATCATTCTCCCGGAAAGGACTTTTACAGTTGGCAAAATAGGTGTCTTAGTGCAGGAGAGGTTTATAATCCGTATAAGGTATATTATCCTTACACTTTTTACTTTTTTCAACTCCAAGAGGGTTATTGGCCATTTTCGCAATAGGAATTATTCAAGTATTATGTTAAGCACTACTTAGCACGGTGCATGGACTAGAAGGCTCAATTCAGATATTAAAACATGGATTGACAAGGAAGCGGTGCAGATAGATTACTATAATGTAGTTTCTCACAGAATACAGTTGTTCTGACAACTATCTGAAGAGGAACGAGGGGGGCAATGGCATCATTGCCCCCCCCCCCCAATGCCTCAGACTTCAGGAAACAATGAGGAAAGGGGAAACAAGGAGAGGCCACATTGTCTTTTATTAAAAAAAATTAAAATAAATGTGCATTCTGTTCTTACACTGCTGTTTATGATTTATCTTCTTAATTACTTTATAATAAGCGCAAACGACTAGACAACACCAATAAAATTAGGCTACCCCACTACTTGCAACGCTTCCCACCATGTGATCAATATTTATTTATTAGGTATTTCTATTTTTTTGCAAAATGTTGGTTCTAATCCAAACAAATATGCTAACCCTTCTTGTCAATATTCAACCTGTGAGCATATTCGGGTATTCCTCAAAACAATTGATATAGTTTACTCGCAATCAAGCAGTGCTTTTATAAATAGACAAGTTAGAATTTAGAGAGATATAATTATTAGTTTACCGTAAATGTATAAGCAGAGGTATGGAGCTCAATGAAAAAATGGTGATAATCAGGTATCTGCAAAATAATGGGCCGAGTCAACCAAATCTTCCTAAAATTTACCAGATATTCAGTGGTATTCAGAACAAATTCCTGAAAGCCGATACTTAGTTCAAATATTAAAATGTACAAATATATATTGCAGTCATCCAACAAGCAGTTTCACTAGAAAAAGTAAAACAGACACTTATTGCTTTGAATTTGAATTATGGGCGCAATTTCTCACTCTTCCACTCGTAAGTTTACACCACAACCACACCACGATATTATGCAGAAAAAACAACAGTGGGGAGACACTCAACATCGAATAACAATAGTCCTACCTTATCGAGCACATTCACAGTCAAATTTTTAAATTTAAACGAAAAATATCGTTTATATGTAAAAAATGATATCATTTTTCTTGAATGAATATTATTTAATGTGCAATAAATTTACACCAATTATAATAAAATACTTGATTGATTTAAAAATATAATACTTTTACTTTCACTAAAAAAAAGAGAGGGGGGGGGGGGGTGTTATATATTACGAAAATTCTGCTTACGTACTACTTGAATGACCCCATAGTTGCAGGCAACAATAAAGCTTGTGTATCCCCAACTTCACGTATTAGTCCCGTCCTTTCGAAGGTCTAATAATTTCCTTAATTTTTTTTAAGATCTTGTACTTTCATATCATGGAGAGAGCTTAAGGGAGGTATTTTCTTTTTTGTAGGTTGACTTCGACAATAAAACCACTCCACCCTTATGCAACATAGACGCAATAGGTCATTGCAGATTGGGCGACATATCTACTCGGCAAGGCATGATCGACATAGCTGGAAAGATAGCAGACAGCGACAAGATATCTAGAAAGATGTGGACGGACACCTTACTGCCTCTTACTGGACACTACAGTATCCTAGGAAAGTCCCTAGTGCTCTACGACGACTTTGGCCCCAAGGCAAGAGGGGAACGATTAGCGTGCTCTTTGTAAGTTCATTTGAAATTCGATAGCTACTTGATGATGGATCTGCAATCTGGCAGTGAAACTTTCTCCTTTTCAATAAGCATATGAAAATTGAATATTCTCTACTCAGACAAAACTGCATATTTAATAACTGAAATGAAACGTTTGGAATTCAAAGGTCAAGTTTTATCATTTCTGGTTCATAGTAAAAAGTGAAACTGCACAAAATATACTTTTTTGCGGCAAAATATTGATCTATCGGAATGGAAATTTTTGAAAATACATGATTCTGAGGCTCCTAAGGAAGGGGGCCGTTGAAGGCACTAACACCTTGATACAAAAATACTTCAATATTTCGTAAACTGAAACGCAATATCAACCAAAAAAATAGCGTCCAGTAGGTTGACTCTGCAATTCCCACGCAACGCACTTATCAGTACAAAAGGAATATGTTCATCACAAAGTAGACCCTCTGAGAAAAAAAGTCGGTCAAACATGTCCATACAATTAGAGCACTGACATTCTTTCCTTGCCCTACCGGCACTGGTATTACTATTTCTATAAGATGTTAGCTGTTGTACACTTGTTAACTGGTTTTGTAGCTGTACGTAGACCTTAATCCTCAGCGATCCTAGCAAGCAAACGTGGAATGAACCATTTGCACGCTAAAACTACCTAGTCTGCAAGATGACATTTCGCCAGTAGGCCTGGGAAGTAAAAAACGTTTCAAGATTGAATTTATTTCAGGGCCATATCCAGGAGATGAAAGCTGGTTAGAATATCATATGAACACTTTTTTATAGATGTTTTCAATAGTATAAATAGGAACATTTTTAGAAAATGATTGTGCCGAATGAAGGCACAGAATGGATATGATAAAATATTATTGAAATATTTAGCTTAGACTAAATTACGTATTTCCAAACAGAAATTTTATAACGGAAACGAAACATACTTTTACGAGAATAGCCTTTGGTTTACCGATGATTTCATATTTTGTAGAATTGGAGGTGTCTACAGAAGAAAGGCAGTGGCAAGAGATTGGTTCCCGAACGGAGTTGAACTAGCTGTTAAAGGAAAAATCGAATTTTTGCAACAGACTGAATACGATATCACGGACGTCGAAGTTAACATAGAGGGATTGAAAGATGCGAGTGGATACCATATTCATATGGTTAGTACACATTATAAAATTCAGCGATATGTTGATTGGCACCTTTCACGCCTTGATTTGCAATTCATTACCAGAGCACAAAGAACAGTTCAAATTTTTGTTTTTTTGTGAAACAGGTCTGCTGTAAACTTTATACCTTCCACGATATTGTGGGTGGCCTTTGATAGATTTGTAAAAAGGATTGACCTCCTCAAGTACAATAATACTACTAATCGCAAGGAATTTCTGTGATAAGAGGGTGTATGTGTATAACAGCTATATTCTACTTGTCCTCTGCACACGCTCATTGAACACTTTTAGATTAACGATCCTGAAATATACTTATGCTTGTAGACACCAGTGGAAGAAGACCTTCAATTTCCTTGTGAAGACACCTCCCTATATGGACACTGGAATCCATTGAATGTAGATCCTGCTTCTTCGCCTAGGGCTTACCAGGGAACACCAGATCAGTATGAAATGGGAGATCTTAGCGGCAAATTTGGCAGCCTGGACAATCAAACCACTTATAATACATACTACAATGATACGCTGCTTACTCTGTTTGGACCAAGAAGTGTTTTAGGAAGATCTATAGTTATACATAAGAAGGTTAGTAGATTCACATCTGGGACGTCCGATGTAGTTGAGTTTTACTGCGTTTCAGATTTTTTAATCCAATACTTTGGCCCGAATAAAAAATATTCAGTGCCCCAATACAAGTCATACTGGCAACTTGTTAGTTGAAGCACAAGCTAATATTAGGATACCAGTTTTGTAACTTCTATCCTTAATCGTATCGATTCAATAAATCGCCAGAAGCATAAAACTATAAATATTTTTTATTAGATTTCGTAATATACGTTTCGGAAATCACAGTGAAAGTTAATTTTTGCAGGATACTCGACGATGGGTATGTTCTACTATTGAGAGAGGCTATAGCCCATCAGAAGCAAGAGAGTTGCGAGCTATTGCGTCATTCCACAACCCAAATGGACATGCATTTGGTTATATGAAAATGGTTAGTTGATCCCCTCTGACTAAAAATATTTGTTATAACGTTTTCTTTGCAGAGACAGTTGATATATAATGATGGCAGTGCTAGTGATACGACCATTGAAGTTAAGCTGAGACATCCTGGAAAAAATGATCGTAATGTTGTAAGTGTTGAATCATTAGTGACCAAAAGAGGCGCCTGAAACATTCGAATGAATTCGAATTATTTTCAGATATGACTGGCAATGCAAGCAGGTCACAATAATTATTCTTATCATACTATAGCGGCGCATTATATAAAATAGTCATCATTCAATCATTACTTTTTTGCAGACAAGGGATCATAACTGGGCCATATATGTCAATCCAGTTGGTGTAGATGCTACTGTCAAGACATTAAATACACGATGCGTTGCTGGCGGTTATGTCTGGAACCCCTTTTTCACACAATTAGCAGACCCTCTGAACGTAAGTTCTGATAACGTCAAAATATTTCTTATTGTTGCTCAATGATTTGTTTATTCATCGAATTCAAGCTGATCGATAGCATGCGTGCATGTTGAACCAAGCATATTTCTGTACTCTAGGATGAGCTGTACCGACAAGAATGTGGTCCAGAAAACCCATTAAGGTGTCATGTAGGTGATCTCTCGGCTCGTTTAGGAACCATTGATATTGGAGTCCAAAGGAAGATATTTACAGATGCAAATTTCCCATTAGAGGGTGAAGTCAGTGCGGTAAGATATTTATTATTTATTTTCTGGTATTCTGTACTCTTATTATTTTAAATCGTCACAACTATATTTAGTAGCTGATTTATAGTTCTGGAGGAGTTTAAAGATTATGATCTTCATTTAGTTGAGTCTTTTTAAACTCATTATTTTATATTTTTGAGTTGGTTATCATTAAGCAAATAATTCAGTGGTATTTTTTTTTTCAGGTAGGAAGATCAATAGTCATCATGACTCCCAACAAAGGTGGAGAAAGGTATGCCTGTGCAAATATAGAGCCTGATTATGACATCATAAAGTATGCCAATATCGAAAGACCACCAAGATTTGTTGTGTAAGTATATGCCCCTCTATACACAATCTTTAAAAAACAATATCAATCATTCTATAGGTAGAAATACAAAAAAACTCATACAAACACAAGTGTTAAAATGTGACCTTGACGAAGGCAAAGTTGTTTAACTGTTCACACCACTTTTTACATCTGCCAATGTCAAACTTCGTTAACATGTTTTGATAGAATAGATATGAATTTTGTTGTGAGAAAAGTTTAGGGATGAATCTTCTATTTTGTGTCAATCAAGGCTTCAAAAGGAACTGTTTCACCTTGGAACATGTATACCCTCAGATATTTTCCAGTTAAAAGTGTGTTAGGTGCAAGATCTAGATAAAATGAAATTTGTTTTTTGCAGTGCACAATTTATTGAAGACATAAGAGAAGTTATGGGTATCCCAGAGTGGTTTCTAACAGTTGACAGTAGACAGACGAAATCTCTGCATAATGATGCATGTGTTCAAATCCTTCTGCATTTCAAGGGACCAATTGCAAGCAAATTGGAGCAAGATTTCAATAGACTACTAAGCTTGGGAAAGCTGGAAGCTCCCAGTTTGTACATTCCTGGGTACATACCAAAGAAACGAAAATCCAAGATTGCTTACAAGCAATGTGGGGCGAGAGATCCAAATGAGAAAAGTAAGTAGATATCTTATTTATGATTCACCACCGTTATCCAAAATTATAAGTGTACTAAGGAAAACTCAGTTGTGCAGAAAAGAATAAAATACATAAAGGCACTCTCAGGGTTTCAAGAACGTAACGTATGACAAAAGATGTTGGCATATTAGAGATGTCACCTGATCCTCCGATTCAAAGCATCTACGTTCTTGTAATGCTATGGCATTGCATTGTATTATAACATAACTTTTAGACAGTGGATGCTTTTATAACCACTCTCGGCATTTCCTGCCCGAAGTACGAGATTCTCCAGATACTAGATACTAAAATCCCTCATTCGCTACATATCCCACCTCAGTAATGCTAGCAGCATGTCATCATGATGGGTAGCATTGCGCTAAGTTTTCATAGCCAGATAACCAGTCATTAGTAACGTCGTGCTATGATCATGTGCAGCCCAGCAAAGCAGAAACCTATTGGTGGTTCCTTAGTTAAACATGACGTTAGCTTTCAGTTTAAATCAGTATCACACCTATTTTTAAAATACTTGACGATTTCATTTTTTACAGGTAAAAGGAGGCAAAGCTTCTTCTTTTTATCATCAAGCAGTGTCAGCTATATCAGGACTGATGTTAAATTAGCTTTAATTTTGCTTTTAAGTTATTTATTTGTATAGATGTAAATAATGTTTAGTGAATTGTATTTTTTATATTTTTGGTACTTTCAGAATGTATGTGTCGATTTTTTTTAAAATAAGAAGTGAAGTGAACAGATATATGTAGTAAGTGAAATGTACTATTATGATCCATGTACAAAAAGTATAAAACAGATCAAATAAAAACAGTGTGAGACAAAAATATACACTTAAATCTTGAAGATATGGCAGCCCAATAATTTGATTCATTTCCTTAGTCCAACTGTTGAATTTTTTGTTGTAATACTGCTGAATATATCGCTTGTCATAATGTCAAATGAATAGTGTGTTAACTTATGACATGACGTCAGTCAGAACATTTACTTCAAAAAAGCTTCACACTTCATGGATTTCGAAAATATTTAATAGCTTTGGACACCAGGCATAAGGCCTAAATACCCGTGGGGCTATAGGGGGTGCAAGGGAGGCAGGGAACGTCACACAGTTACCACACCATATACTGTATGTACGCGCTGATCTACAATTCCCATCGAATCAGCCATGTTGACACGTAATAAAAAAATATGTTCCTTACAAAGAAAAATATTTATTCTCAACATGATACCAACCTTCCAATGAACGACAACCTCTCAACCACATTCGTAATTATTCCTAAATTTCGTATTATCGGAATAGGAAAAAGAAATTCCATAAGCTGTTGTGTGCAACAGTCCGAGAGGTGACAAGGTTGGGGCCTAAAAACGGTGGTCGACGTGAATATGATTATAGTCTAATCATATTAGCAAATTTTCTCGGAATAATTGCGAAGTCTGGTTTTATTGGTGCAAGTGGTTCAAGGGGATATTTAAAACATAGACACATAAAATGGGTACACCAATTTTTGTGGGAAAACTTTTTACTTGACAACAAAGAATGAGAAAACCTATTTTTTGGGATTCAATCGAAAGTGTTGACAGGAACGAAAAAAACTTTTTTTATAAGATTTTTAGGTATTTATGAGACCTACAAAATGTTATGGCCGAAAAACGAGGCAAAATGCTGGTTTTGACACTTGTTGGTAATGCGACAATTCCACGCAACTCCTTGAAATTCTTCAAATCCGTAGGATACATACTTCTAAATAACAACAACAAAATTGGAATATGTTTGTCAAGTAGTTTTTTGGGAATTTCTAATTGTTTATCCCAGAACATCTTTTCTGTTTTCCGGTCATTACTACTAGTTTATTGAGCAATATACAGGGTTCGTTCAAAGAGCATTTAATACCAAAATACACGTGTTTACCTTGCCGATATGAATCACAAACCATTCCGAAAGATAAAAGTTATTTTTATGCGAAAAAAGGTTACGTTTTTTCTTCTAAACAAATTCAAACATTTCGTATTTGTGAGTAATTGAACAAATGCGCTACGATATTCGGAAAACATAGGTTACTATACACATTTTAAAAAAAAGCTGATGTGTCTATATAATCTTTTGTTGCGAATTACTCACAAATACCAAATGTTTGAATTTGTTTTGAAGAAAAACCGTAAATCCTTTTTTGCTCAAAAATGACATGTATCTTCGGGAATGGTTTGCGATTCATATCGGCAAGTCAAACTAGTGTATTTTGCTATAAAATGCCCTTTGAACTAACACTGTATATTGCTCAATAAACTAGTAGTGATGGACGGAAAACTGGTGTTTTGAGATAAGCAATTAGACATTCTCAAAAACTACTTGACCAATCTACTCCAGTTTTGTGGTGGTTATTTAGAAGTGCGAATCCTACGAATTTGAAGAATTTCAAATGTCTGCGAGAAACCATCGTTGCATTACAAACAAGTGCCAAAACCAGTTTGCTTCGGTTTTAGGCCATAACTTTTTTGCTATTAGTCGGATTCATTCTTTGTTGTCGTATAAAAAGTTTTCCAACAAAAATTGGTGTACCCATTTTATGCGTCCATGTTTTGAATACCCCCTTGAATAACTTGCAGCAATAAAACCAGACTTTACAATTATTTCGCAAACCAGGAGTATTTTCGTCTAATATGATTAGCGGTTAGCGGCGCCAAGGTACATATTATGGTCGTTTTAGGGCAGACACGGCTTTTAGTTAAGTTGGGTATCTTCTGGCCCAACGTCCAGATCCTCCGGATGATACCAACACGCTCGGCAGTCTGTGAGCGTCTTTCACATTGGACAATCGACATCCACGGCCAAGAGATCCTCTTAGGAACTTAGGGACCCACTCTCCACATGGCGCCACCAGGCTAGATGATTATGAATTGTATATTTGTAAAAACTCATTTTATTGTTGCTCAAAATAGAAATTTATAATTACAAATTTAAATAAAAACATTTATCTCAAATCTCAACATAATAGCTAAAATGTTTAAAATGAACTTGTTTACATATTTCTGCTTGAATAACATATTCAACTGCTACCATACAGAGTTTTATGAAAGTACATAACTTATACCTCCTATTCTAATAAAATCACTTATTTACAGTACCATTAACCTTGGAGCAATATTCATAGACATCAGCTCTTGGAACAACAGTTTAGCTGCATATGGCAACCTTACTTGAGATATTTGTGTTTTATTCTTACATCCTTTACATTCAAAAGTGTTATTCCTCATGTTAGCTATGGCTATCAAACCACAGAAGTTGCACACATGAATCCTGAAACAATGAGTTCATTGCTATATTGGGAAATAAAAAAAAATAAAGAAATGTGTACTCTGGTTTTCATGTAACTATCCTGTAATGTAATAACTGAATTTTCAAGTTTTTCTCTCAACTAACATTGTTACTCATGACACAAAATGTCTCAAAAACTTCCAATAATTCAAAGAATTCAGATTCTACAATACTATGTAACATGCGAGTCACCTTCATTTTGGAGATACACATAAAATACCATTTAAGGAGACTGACTGCATACCGTACATATATTTCATTTCATTTATTCATGCTGATAAAAAAAATTGTTTACAATCGTCATAACACAGAAGAAAAGTCTCATCATATAGCATGAAAGTCACATGGTAAATCAAACTTAAAAGTCTTGAACTATCACAACACGTTAAAATCAGTATTTAGAAAATCATCAATTTTGTAAAGAGCATTTTGGATCAAAACATTTCTAATAAGAATTTTAAAATCATTTAAAGGCAGTGATGGCAATTTGATGAAAAAACCCGATTATATTGACACCTTCTCAGCCGCAATTATATAGGCATCAAATTTCTCTTATTTCTGGTGTTATATTCGGGATCATATTCAATACTTTGCTATAGATCACTTTTTGTCTGTCAGACTTGGCACAGTCAGAAGCTTCCATTCAATAAACACATGCTTGCAATCATCTCTGTATTTCAGCACTACCATCAATCTAACAGCCCTCATCTACAGTCCAAACACTCCCTCAGCCTCCGCAGAGTTGCCCCATACAATAATTCAAATGTCAGGTACGTGTTATTCTCATATAGACAAGGTAAGTTTTTAGTGTGTGATCAGTTGATGGCTCCATTATTATAAAAATTATCTGAAAAATTGTAAGCAACTATATGCTCCTTACTTGGAAAGTACAGCGCTTTCTGTAGGATGAGTATCAACTGTACGTCAGCACAAGTCTATGTTTTAGTCTATTCTGAAAGGTCTCTTTAAAAAAGTTTGACATAAATTTTGGATCGTTACTTCTGGAGCTACCGGATATTTTGTCTGAATAAAATACTAAACTATGACAGCTTGTAGGTCACCTACTTTTGTAGACAAAATAGCAACCTTTTAATCAAAATGAACTCCATATCCCATAATTTCTCGCCATTGTAAGGTTTTTTAAATGTCAAGATTATACGGCTTTGTGTTATTTATTTTGGTATAATTTCTTTTGTTAAATTATTCGTAGAATTGAGAATATTTGAAATTACCTCCCATTAACAAAAAATCCTCCCTTCCAGCGAATCAGGTAGTATTTATTTATTCTGAATTTTAATTTCATAATAACTGCAAATAACTAAAAAATTTGGTAATTAACCACCCTCCTCCTCCTCCTGTGGTTATCTCAATAATGCGAATAAAATTGGTAGTTTTTGTGATATCTCTGGTTGTGGATTTCAGGAATTACGAAGTGCTATATGCCCCTTTCTCTAGACATTTTCGATTGTTATATATTTATGTGTGAAGATTACATGATATAGCTTTATATTCTTTTTTCTAATGTCTATTAATCATATTCATATTTTTTTCTTCTCTACTTGAAGCTCCCTTCTCTTTTTTGTGTTTTTTGTTTCACTTTGTGGTACACAGACTGTGTAAATTAAACCATTGTATGGCTCTCTAAATGGTATATGTTCTGTTGGGCAATAAATGCTTCATTATTAGTAATACTATCTCACCTTAAAGTATACAGGGTGTCGCACTTGATTTTTTCGAGTTGAAGTAAATTTTCGTTTATAAACAACTTGAATAAAATAAATGACGCACACAATTTAAAAAACATTCAAATGACAAGAAACTATAAGATATGAGACTTATTTTGTATAAAATTTTGCTTCTCTATCTGCAAAAGTGACCGACTTACAAGGTGTCAAAGTTGATAATTTTTTCGGACAAAATATTCCGTGGCTCCGGGTAGCGATCCAAGCTCTATTCGTCGGAAGTGAAGTGCACAGTGGGGTAACAAAATTGATCGCCGCCCACGTGGTGGACAAAACGGAAAACATCTAAATATCATTAGACAGATAATGGAATTTACGCTTGGTCTCTATGTCAAAATCTATGTCATGTGGGGTCAACTGAGACCTGGTAAAGATATAAATAATATAATCAAAATCAGATCAGAAGAGATTCAGTTTGACATTTAAATTGTTCCTAACATCAAATAGCGAACAGTATGATATATCTAACTTTTTCATTTGAAGAAGCCATTTTGAATACACTAAAATATACAGGATATATACAGTAATGAATTGTCTGCATATTTTCCAACTGATGAGAGCACATATGCCTATAATTTTTGTAAGAAACTTTTCACCTTTTATATGCCCAATAACACTATCAACTAAAAACATCAACATTCTTGACCGTAATTAGTTGATTTTTGCCTTTTTTGTATTGTTGAGAACAGCCATCAGAAGATACTCTTTATCTGATATATTCTTGGGACAGATACGAATATTAAAAATTAATAAAGTACCTGTATGGATCGGAGACCTCAAATAATCTTTCTCTTAAAAATTGCGCAGCTCCGTGAGAAATTTGACAATCTCGTTCCATCTCTCCAAAACGAAGTCCACCATCTCTGGCACGACCTTCCATAGGTTGTCGTACTAGAATTTGAACTGGTCCTCTCGCTCTGTAAAAATAAATAAGAAATCCGTTTTAGAACTACTTGAAATCATAACAAAACTTTCACAGTATTACGTTTTAGTTGTGTTTGCTGAATATATCCCAAACATGTTCAAGAGTATTACTGAAGAGGCGATGTCAAAATTCGATAAAACATGTCCGATTTGCTGATTATGTTAAAGAATTAAGATATCATTAAAGAGATTCGCAGACTTCATCCGCTATTATCGAACATTTACAGAAGAAGTTGAAAACTGATTGCACATTCTAACTTTGCTTGGAACGTTGTTTAAAATCCAAAGACACCCTAAACAAATTAATAAAAACCTTGCAAAACATTTACCTATATGACTGTTAGGTATGGAAAGGCAAAAAAAAGAATAGTATTTTTTATTCATAATGACTTACCTTGAGTGGATCTTGTCGTCCACCATGTGCTTCAATCTCTGATAGTAAGTTGGACCAAAGAAAATCTGAGCATTAATCTTTCTGCCTGTGTGTCCATTGTACATTACTTCGTTCCCTCTAAGGTGGTAGCCATACTCTTGTAGCAATGTACTGATTTTTTGCACATTCACGGCATCATTGAAAGGAGTTGCATCACCAATTTCACCCTTATTTGAAGATACCTACACACAAAATAGAGGTTATGATTTATTTTGCAGAAAATAAACACTAAAATCCTCTACAAAACTGTAAAAGCAAATGAGTAAGTATTTCGAAAAACTAAACAACAACCGAAAATTATCATGGTTTGTAATATTTCTTTTATTGTGATCAGCGCACATTTTCCAGAAAACTAAAACTTTCATGATTGATCTAAAAGTTAATACACAATGCCAAAATTTCAACATTTAAAAATACATATAATAAGGCGATATCAACAATTACCTTTCCTTGGATACATTCAATCAAGTGACCAATTGTCATACGAGATGGGATGGCATGAGGATTGATAATGATGTCAGGAGTCATTCCCTCGCAGCTGAATATCATATCCTGCAAAAATTAATCACAATGACAAAAACGTGTACAACAGACTAATGTGCTTTATAAGCCTGGTATTCAAGAACTTCTGCTTCTAATATACAAATAACATACCTCTTGTCTGTACTGTATGCCACATGTTCCTTTTTGTCCGTGCCTAGAGGCAAACTTATCTCCAATCTGCGGAATTCTCACGGATCTGACCCTGATCTTACAAAACTTGTATCCTTCCGAGTTCAGCGTTAACATAACTTGATCAACAACACCCGTTTCACTGTTACGCAAGAAAGTTGATGCATCGCGCTTAGTGTATCGTTTTGTTGTTCCATCCAGCTGAAAATCAACGACATGTTATGATAAACTACTACAAAAGCACCACTTGGATCACTCACCTCATCGTCATTTTCAGGCAACGTCATAGTCTTTCCAATAACTACATCATCTCCAGAAACTCGAATACCTGGAGATATGATACCATCATCATCCAATTTATCATACAACGCATTTCTCATGCCTTGGCACGTTTGTCTAGTCGGTTTTTCAAACTGTTCTTCCTGGTCACCAATACGTTTTGATTCTGCATCTTTGTAAGAACGGTAAAACACCGATCTGAAAAAAATATTCAAATCACGAAGTGTATTAGAAAACTTTGTCATGAAAATTTAAGGGCAGATTCAGCACCTAACAATATGAACCCGAAAATTCTCGTTTATACTCGATAAATAATTGTTGTGATTTTTGCAAAATAAATCATTATCTCAAGGAGATGTTCGTTAAAATAGTGCTCATTCGAATATTAACGTTTAACACTGGTTAATAAAATCATTTTTATTTCTGGTACGCTGCATATGAACGAAAAGCTCAAGAACCAGTTTCCACTCAGAATCAATCTGGTTTTACGATATTTTTACTAATCTTTTTGCAAAAACCAGTGGCGTATTATCCTTCTGCTAAACTGAGTTGAGAAAAAACAATTTTGTATATACAAATATGTTTGCGCGATCTTTGATAATATATTTGCGTGTACCAAAATTGATCTCAATATCTGTTTTTGAGAAATGATATGTTAAAGACTGACAAATTTAAACGTTGTATGGACTTTTTTCATGTTCTACCATGCACAATCTGCACTCAGTTCTTCTGATATTGTATAAAATCCTGAACATTGAAAAGAAAAATTATAAAGTAAGCATAAACATTCAAAACATATTTAACAAATCATAAAAGGGGGTATAAGAAGGTGTTGTAAATAGTTATTTACCTGAAGAATCCTCGTTCCACAGCAGATGCGTTCAAAATAACAGAATCTTCCTGGTTGTATCCCGTATAACAAGCGATAGCGACGATACTATTGATTCCAGCAGGCAGTTCTCTGAACCGCAAATATTCCATAGAACGTGTGGTAACCAGTGGTTTATGTGGATAGTATAACACATGAGCTAGAGTGTCCATCCGGACATGGAAATTTGTAATGTATACACCCATAGCTTGTTTACCTGCAAAACAAAAATGATATTGACTTCAAACAAAAAGTTCTAATTGACATATTCCAACAGCGTCTGTTCAGCGAAACTGGCGGTTACTTTTTTTTATACTGAAGCAGACGCGTAGGTAGAAAAGTAAATACCGGAGCACCGTTATAAGGAACTTAATGACGCGTTGTTAATCCGATGGTTGAATTGCCTAAGGTTAGCAAAGCTGGAAAAGAACTACTCGGGTGGACTATTCCACAACCTCGACATCCTAGGAACATACGAGCGGTTGTACCGGTCAGTCTTCGAAGTACGAAGTTGGGATAGGACGCAGAACCCTGGCGAGTCCGTCTGGGAGGCTCAACGCATGGCTGCATCATGGAGTAGAGCTATAACGAGCAAAGCTAGTTGTCATAGCGTTAGAGAAGTGTCAATGATCAGTCGTCAGAGCAGCAACACTAGAAACATGTGAGAAGTACTCGAGACTCGGTCTTATCTAGGCCTTGTACAGAGTGAGGCGGTTCTTAGCCCTGAACAGACAACCCCTCTTTTTTACCAACAATTGACGAGATGATTGGTGCCAAATCAGTTCCTCAGCGATCTGTGACGAGCCGAAATGAATGGCTCTTTGGCAGAACTCGGCCATCCATTGAAACCGGATGAGCACAAGGGCGCTTCTGCTTGGTCAAGGTACAGTACTGTGTTTTGGAAGCATTAAACTGTACCCATTCTTGCGTCCCCACGCGGTGATATCTTTTAGGTATCTCGTCAGAGAGGAAGTCGCTACTAGTCTTTTTTTGTCCAGCTGATCAGCAGAGATCGGCATGCCACATTGAATGCCATCATGTAGAGTGCTGTTATTGGCAAAACTGTGGATGGAATTAATCATGCTAGAGACGCCGTTGATATGTTATAGAAACACTTTTGGAGCCAAGACCGATCCCTGGAAAACACTCGAATTGATATTGTGTTCCAATAGGAGAGACGGTCAACTATCACGAATATCTTGCGGCTGTAGAGGGAGCCAGCCACCCATCTGCAAAGTTTCTCTGGGAGGCCATAGGATGGAAGCTTGCGTAGTAGGGCAGCATTCCAAAGCTTTCGTGATGTCAAGAGCAACCAGATGAGCCTCACCATGTCACTGTATAAGTTTACTCCACAGCTGCGTGACGTAAGTTAGGAGACCACCCGTTGATCGCTGGTGAAGGAGTCCATACTTCATGTCGCTAATCAAGCTGAGATGTTCAAGATACTTTACAAGCTCCATATTTATGTATATCTCCATCACTTTACTGATAACAGACAAAAGAGCTATAGGTCTTAAGCTGTACGGGTCCGTCTTAGATACTATGTGGATGGGCTGGTCATGAGCAGATTTCCAATTCACTGAAAAAGTACCACAGTCGTAAGCTATCTGGGAGAGACGCGAAAGAACTGGAGCAAGCTCTGCTGCACATCTCTTTATTATAATAGCAGGAATAAGGTCAGGACCCGAAGCTTTGCTGATGTCAAGCAATAAGAGCTCCCGTGTAACGGTCTTATGCTTGAAGGTTAATTCCCCGCATAGTGTAGGGAACCCTTTGAATTGACGGCACTTGGGCGTTAGGGGGTCACCATGGTGGAGTTGGCGGCAAAGATCTTGGCAAGCACTTCCGCCTTGGCTTTTGAGTCGGATACAATCGTTCCATCCTGACACGTAAGTGGTGGAAGGCTACTGTGTGAGAAGTTCTTTTCAATCTGCTTGGCCAGCGTCCAGAAAGAGCGACTGCCATTGCGCTGCGACATTACCCTGTGCCTAACTTTTATGGCGTGCTGATCTTTGGCACTGCGGACCGCTTCGTTATAATGGTTTCTGGACTTGACGTCGGCTTGCCTGTTCTCTAAGAAGGTTCGGTGTACCTTGATTTTCTATGCTATGGGTCTTAAGCTGTACGGGTCCGTCTTAGATACTATGTGGATGGGCTGGTCATGAGCAGATTCCAATTCACTTAAAAAGTACCACAGTCGTAAGCTATCTGGGAGAGACGCGAAAGAACTGGAGCAAGCTCTGCTGCACATCTCTTTATTATAATAGCAGGAATAAGGTCAGGACCCGAAGCTTTGCTGATGTCAAGCAATAAGAGCTCCCGTGTAACGGTCTTATGCTTGAAGGTTAATTCCCCGCATAGTGTAGGGAACCCTTTGAATTGACGGCACTTGGGCGTTTGGGGGTGACCATGGTGGAGTTGGCGGCAAAGATCTTGGCAAGCACTTCCGCCTTGGCTTTTGAGTCGGATACAATCGTTCCATCCTGACACGTAAGTGGTGGAAGGCTACTCTGTGTGAAGTTCTTTTCAATCTGCTTGGCCAGCGTCCAGAAAGAGCGACTGCCATTGCGCTGCGACATTACCCTGTGCCTAACTTTTATGTCGTGCTGATCTTTGGCACTGCGGACCGCTTCGTTATAATGGTTTCTGGACTTGACGTCGGCTTGCCTGTTCTCTAAGAAGGTTCGGTGTACCTTGATTTTCTGTCGACGAGCAGTGCCGCACGACTTGTTGAACCAGCTGTTAGTCCCTCATTTTGGCACTTTCATTGTATGAGGGATATGTTCCTCCACTCCAATGTGGCAACACGGTCAAGTCATAAAAAAAACAAGGAAAACTGGAGAAAAAATCTCTGAGCCCTTCCCAGTCAACATGCCCGTACTGCCAAATTTTGCGTCCTGGACGAGTTTGTGTTGCCACAATCAGTTCTGACGACGTGGTCCGAGTTAGCCAGATGAGACAGGACAGCAAAGCTGTATGGGATGCGTGGTCAAAAAGAGATCCAGCACACTACTGGGTAATGGCGAATGCTTCAACGGCACGGCCCGCTGTATAGGTCTTGTTTGGTTCCAACCAAAGTTCATTATGGGCACTGAATTCACGGAGAATAACTGCTTTTGCGGCAGGGTGATTGATGTTCAAGGAGTCGATCTTGACAGAGATGTTTTCAAGTAGTTGATTCGAGTTATAGTTCAACGGAGAATGATAGAGACAGCAAACAACTTTGGAGGATGGTTTGAAGTTGAGCCGGAGCCAGAGAATGTCTTTCGGGCCTGATTCCAAAGAGACATCTCTGGAGCAGGAGAGACTGTCGGGGACAAAAGACACAACTCCACCGATCTTCCTCAAATAGGAGTGAATTATTATCGTATTTCAGAAAAACCGGATTTTTAGTCGGGACAGATTTCGGCTTTCACCTTAAAGAGGATGGCGGGGCGATCTGACTGAAGATAGTGGTGAACAGCATCAATATTGCTGTTAATCCCATAGATGTTCGTGAAAAAGATTTTATCAACGATGTTATTCCCTCGTGTCCCCCTCCATCCGGACATTTTGAGAATGGAGTGACTTAACGTCCGGAATTCTTAGTGGCCGAAGGATCCATCATCATTTCTAATCAGTGCCATAGGAAATAATTAACAGATCGATTAACTGTACCATGGATGGACGTCAGCTCAACCTTCCTAAAATATCTGTTCAAGCCAATCCTCAACGCAGCTGTGGCGTAATGGGTAACAAAGAATTGTTGTTTTCATGCACTTTCTGGAAATGCTCCAATAGATTTAGTAATCCACTAATCGTATTTCCAGACAGTGATATTGTAACGCCCTGGTAACTAGAACAATGAGACTCCTACCTAACATCGACGCTTAGGCAATCAAGAGCGATCAACATCACGTTAGAGAGTCTTCGAAGTCATCGAAATGAATCTACTGCCATCTAGACCATTTCCATGAAGGTTCGCGGCTCGACCTGGAAAACGCTGGAGTAATTCTCGACTCTTCGATGGGGGAATAAATATAGGCAGAGACCACGGAAGCAAGACAGTCAACAGGCAGCGACCGATCAATCAAATATAATAGTTCAGTCGACATCGTCATAAATTCATCTTAAATTAGTTGCAAGTGTTGTTATAAATTAGTGTAAAAGTAATAAGACAGGCTTTGAACAGTAAACACGTTGTAGAACACTCACACATATTCAGAAAATGTATCACGTCGGCGAGACAAAACTAGTAAACGTAAATCTGTTAGCTTACATAAACAAAAATCCATGTAAAGTAGTAGATTAAACAAACATATATGTAAAGAAGTAGATTACATGTATGTGAAAATAGGAAAGTAATACTGATAGTTTTATTCTGACCTGCCAAAATTGGTGAAAACATTTAGAGTTTCTTCTGATTTTTATAAGTGGTATACAGATTTAGATAAATAGATAAGGGTTAACTCACCCATAGCACTTTGATAAGTATTCCTAGGACTCTGGTTGTGATCTGGGAAGGGAATAATTGAAGCACATACACCCAATATCATGGCAGGGTGAATCTCACAGTGTGTGTATGTTGTACAATATGCATACTCTTTCTCCTGCCTGAGATCCTCAGGATTCATTGCAATCATCACTGTTTCTTCTTCTAGAGTATCGATGTATTCTACTACACCTAAAAACAAAACAAGAATCAATACTAAAGGAGGTGCTATAACAATAACGAAAGAAAAATTTACTTCAAATGAATATCAATATTTTGAATCTAAAAAGTGTTCTGGAAGTTTTCATTTTTCATATAAATAAGAACTGGCAAAACTTGCCCTCTTCTGAAGTACAAAATTAGATAGTTTTTTTTACGTTACGATTCAAATTTACCTTGAGCGACCAAAACCTGCCAGCCATAATTATTGTACTCTCTCTCCTTGAGCATATCAACGTGTCTTTTCTTCAGAAGCAATTGTCCATTCTCAACAATCAGCAACGGCCTACATATTCTACCTGCGTCCGTGTATATCCTAATTTCTCTGTCCCTGATATCTCGGATCATTGACACTTCTGACACTATAATGTCCATCTGACGACGCAGCTTTCTCAAAGTTGCCATCAATTGCTCTGGGTCGCGATGGATACCCACCTAGAACAAGATATTGTTAATAAAAATATTGTGCAATGTGAAAATGGTTTCAATGAGTGTAGGCACAAATTACTATAACTGTGAATAAAGGCATGTTCAGTTTCGATTCTGAATAGGTAATTTTGCTGCAGGAAATCGTTTTTTATATGCAATATTATGTTTGTTGTTATATTTATTAACCTGTCTCTATCCCATAATATATCATTTTCTTTGCAGGTAACTTCATTCTCCTTCTTAACTAGTATGAACTGTGATTAACGTATTCTACCTGAAAATAGCCAACCTTGCACCATGTTTCGGCGTCCAAAAAATTATTCGAGGTTAAATTAGATTTTTTCCTCCTCTTCGCATGAGCATATAGTCAGTACAGCGCCATCTATGAGACATAAAACTTTTCAAAGTAAAGTTCTAATTATTGCGTAAATGAAAACTTAGTAGTGACAAATTATCACAGATGACGCCAGGATACCCCATTTCTGGTTTGTTCGTAAATTAGTCGGTAACTATGTCAGTGATCCGGCAGTGTGAATTCCGTTTACACTGCATAGCAGAATTAATGGAGTTCATACTGTCGGATCTTAGATTACAGTTACTGACAAGTTACCTACTACTGTACGAACGAAGCATAGATGTCGGATAATTTTTTGGACGCCGAAATACACCTGGTTAGCTATCTTCAGAAAGTATATGTTAATCAATGGTATGAGTTAAACTGTATCAATCCAAGTGCCTAGCTGTTAGATTGAATGGTTATCATTCAGGTCGCTGGTTTGACAGCCCGTTTTGTAAAGATGCTAGATTGAAACGGCTGAGGATATCTGGGATTTGCTTTATACGTGAATTTTTCTAATTTTTGGGTCATCAATAAAGGTCACCAAACTGCCGCCGCACCGTCCACCAGTGTTGCCAGGTTTTCAGTCTCGAACGCCATATGAGTCAACCATAAAACGCCAGGTTAGAGATTGGAATCAATTTGTGGGAGGAGGAGGGGGGGGGGGTAGTAGCCTGTCTGTTAACTGAAGAGCGGAGGTTAGGCATAATAATATATGATAATAAACAGTTCCTTGAAAAGGGAGGGGGGGGGTAGGATGACGGGGGGTTGTTAGACACGTGTAATCTGAACGAAACTATAAGTTCATTCGCATGGGGCGGATCCCTTGTGCTTAGAGCACAAAACTTCCGCTGGTCCTCGCTTCATGTTCCATTAATCTATACAATTATTTTTTAAAATGCTATACCTCGATCCACAAAATTGCTATCATATGATGAATTTAAAAGACATATGAAGAAATTTATTTTGAATACATAGAAGTACTCGTTTATAAATTAGTTGAGAAAATTGATCTGACAGCTCACATAAAAATATTTCCAAAATTAACATTCCTCTGTTTGTATAACTGTTACAATTTTATACTTATAAGAACTATTGAGTAGCCTTCACTTTATATGTTATATATATATATATATATATATAATATCATATTTCTTATACACCTACATTTTCAAACTTGTAACATATCAAATGTATTTATGTTTTTTGTATTGTTTTTCAGTTTTGTTTTTTTTTTTTGTTTGAGGGGGAGTTAAGTGATATAGTAGCTGTTAGGCATATTTGGTTGACTTTATTTTAAGGCCAGTACGAGTTGTCGTTTGCCTACTCCGCGCGCGTGCGCTGCTAGGACAACAAAAGGATGAAAGATACTAGCTCACAGAGAGACCACGCAAATACGCCGCAACCCGCATACCGTGATAACATATATACCCGCAACCGCATACAGTGAGACCACGTGTCTACGCAGCAAACGCATATAGTCAGAAACCGCATATACGCAGCAACCGCATAGAGTCAGAACCGCTCCCACACCCGCAATCTTCACGCTCCTGCATCACCGCTACGCCAGGAATACGAACCAGAATTAGACAGAATACCGGATCAAAGGTAGGCGACAACCACATTTCATTCTTGAACCAGCCGCTATACAGTCCACTCGAATACAACAGTAGCAATATGCTAAACTTCGCACCCTAAATAAAGACGATTTATTATTATTATATCGGCAAAAATAGATTACAAATTAAGTGGCTGTTGCTGTATACTGGTCGCCACTAAAGTAGCCAATCGCCAAACTATACATTTTAGTCGCCATTTGAAGTTGTCCAATAGCTACTTTGGCGAAAAACCGCCACGCCTGGCAGCCCTGCCGTCCAGTCGATCTCTTACTACATGGTGGGGGTTATTCAGTGTCCAGTTGAATTTTGAAGCCTGAGCTCGCTTGTCAGTTTGGCATTAACCGACTTTTCCGAATGAACTAATTTTCGAAGTTTATACGTTTAAGTAAGTGGAGTAATTTCTCTTCAGTTGCTTGTCGATTGACTGGATAAGTGAGGTAAGTGTGTGTACATTATAGAATTGAAGTTAAATTTTTTTTGCGTATATATATTTCATTGGAGACAAGAAATTATAGACAAACCATTTATCTGAAGATGCATCAATTTTGTATATTTTCGATTTTGATAGGACGACAATTTTTTTATTATTATGTTTCTGTTCAATTAACCCAACTCTGAAATGTACACACATATACTTATAATCCTTCCATTATCAATATGTGACATATAGCGAGATTGAGACGTCCTTGAAGATCTCAAAGACCACAATTCAAAAAAAATTACATGAAGAATTAGGAGTAAGAAAATTAGTTTCGCGTTGGATACCCCACCTGTTGACTGAAGAGCAGAAAGCAGCCAAGGTTAATTGGTGTCAAAATACGCTTGACCGTTTCAATTACAGAAACTCAAAAAATGTGTACAGCATTGTTAGTGGATGTACTGTTATGAACCAGAAAATAAACGACAGTCGGCTGTTCCTCTTAATGAGCAAAGAACTGTTACTGCGGATTGATATACCACCATTTGTTTGGCAAAATTCATCACCGAGCTTCGAAAAATCAACCCCGAAAGAAGAATCATCCTCCACCAAGACAATGCAAGCTCGCACACAGTCCAAAAAACTAGGCAGTATTTAACGGAAGAAAACGTGGAATTATTGGACCATCCTCCATATAGTCCCGATCTAAGTCCTAAGATATCTTTACTTTCCCGAAAATTAAAAACAGACTGCGTGGTCAACGGTTCCAGTCACCAGAAGAAGCCGTTGACGCATTCAAAAAAGCCGTTTTGGATCTGCCTGCAAACGAGTGGAATAAGTGCTTCGAAAATTGGTTCGAGCGCATGCAGATGTGTATTAATCTACGTGGAGAATACTTCAAAAAACAATATAGTCATTTAAAACTACCTACCGTGTTGTTTTATTTCCATATGCAAAACTTAAATGACATCCCTCGTATGTCGGTGAACGCCACAACTACAAACGAGCTTATTATTCGAAATCGACTGGCCTCACTGAGATTGAGACACTGAGAACGTCCAAATATTAAAAGAGGATCGTCCGCGTCAACGGTGCGGCGGATGGCAATATATGTACGCCGTCCTTTACTCCGCAAGCTCCACGCCAACAAGCTGTAGCGTGAAAACTAAGCAATTTAGCAAAAAAATTGCAGACCTTTTTTGATAGCCCAAAAACTAGAAAAATTTACGTGTAAAAAAATCTCAGATATCCTCAGCCCTTTCAGCGAAAAAGAGGTTTTTGGGGGTTTTCGCTGTTTTACAAAAAAAAACGGATGGTTTCCGGAAAACCAAACTCTTACGACAATATTCGCAAGCCTTTATTACACCATTACGTCAGCGGACATAACTTTGTGGCTATGTTATCACTTTTGCGGCAGTTTCGGCTATTTAACTGCACTATGCATGTGTTGCGAGACTCTGAAGATCTTTGGAGGTAGTAAAAAAACTTACCCAACATCCATTGACGAATATTTTGGTAGCATTGGCGATGGCAGAAGGCGCGATTTCCTCCAAATTTTCCATGGACCATTCTTCCAAAAACTCCAAGATAGGCGATGGCTGTGACCCCACTGAGATATACGCCATAAGTGCGAGATTCTTTACTAAACCGACAGCTGCGCCCTCTGGGGTCTCGGCAGGGCATATCATGCCCCACAGAGTGTTGTGCAATTGACGAGGTTTTGCAAGTTTACCATCTCGACCTAAAATAGGAAAATAGTTATAAAAAACTATCAGAGCAGTGAAAGTAACTTAACGCAACAAGAATATTATTCTTACCTATAGGCGAGTTAACACGCCTGAGATGAGACAATGTAGACGCGAATGTCAATCTGTTCAACACCTGAGATACACCAGCTCTTGCTTGATGGGCTTTTTTCTGGTCTCCCCAATTACCAGTGGCCAAAGAATATCGGAGACCGTCAGTAATTAACTTTGTCTTGATAGCCAAATCGAGATTGAAGTCCTTGCCTCGATCGATAAATTTCTGGGCGTAAAGACGAACCTCTTTCATCAGGTTCTTGAAAAGACTGAAACATGTTTCATTATGAAAAATTTTACGATGTTTACCTGGTGCATCATGACATTTCAAAAATTTAAATGCAACACCCTATGTGCTTTTGAATCGTTGAATTCTACTTTGATAATAATTTGCATTTATCTTACCCTCTAAAGAGGAATGCTAGCAGTGGACCTGCCAAATCCAATCTCTTGTTGCCATAATGATCTCTGTCGTCCAGTTCTCGTCGACCTAATGCAGCCAGGAGTAATCTATGTACCATATAACTGAAAAGAAATATATCGTAAAACCATTATAAGACATTGTAAAATAATAACATACCCTAAGAAATAAGCTTTCTTTGTCTCACAAAAATCTGATACACCAACATGTGGCAACATTTCCTTCTGCAAAATTTCTCTAGCATATTTAACACGCTTCTCTTTTGTAACACCAGGTCTCGCACCTCTTGAACCAATGAAATTCAGTGCTACTGTTTGTTCTTGAATTACAAATGCCTCATCGAGTGATGGTTTTACCTAAAAGATACAATTCTGATCTTGATGATCAAGAACACCCAAAATAGTTCTTGAAAACCATTCACATTTAATGTCGTAAAATATTTTACTTAATGTTACGCCAACACGAGTGGTTGGCATCTTCAGAAGATGTTCACAGAAGGAGTCCCGTCCTTAGCTCATGTTTATATGTGGCGGCTCGAGTGGTGGGGAGTGCTCTTCGGGAATCCTCCGCTGGCATCGCGCTCGTGATGACTCGGCTGTTGTTTTGCCATTTGCATGACGCAATTTTTGTGTTTTTTAATACTGGTAGCCAGGTTTTGTGTGCTTTCAGCGATTCCTCTGTTTTGTTAAAGTTGCCCGTGTGTTTGTGTATCTCTATAGCCTCCCTGTATAATCTAGCATGGTATGCTGGTGTGTTAGCAAAGACCTGGGCTTCTTCAAATTTACTACGGTGGTCCGTTTTGGTGAGCGTATGTTCGACTACAGCAGATTTTTCTATTTGAGCCAGACGGCACCTTTTGGTTCTTTAATTCTGGTATTCGTTGGTATGGTTTTGTTGTTCTGTTGTACACACTTCCACAAGTACAAGGTATGCGATAGACTCCCGAAGACGACAGGGGCGCTCTCTTATCTTTTGCCAATCTCAGACTTTTACTTATTTTTGTCGTTGGCCTGTATATTGTTTTGACATTCTCCTTGAGAAGAAGACGTCCAATTCTGTCTGTGAATCTAGGAATATATCGCAGAAATGCTTTGGCCACCGGTTGGTTGTTTTCTTTGGCTCTGGCATTACTTGATGTCAGCTCTGAACATCCATTGGTCATTAAGCTGCTTTTTGAATGTTTAAGTTCTAAATCCAGTTCTTCGGGTTCTCAGATTCTCCTGGCTCTTTTTGTTAGTGTTTTAATGATGCCATATTTCTCACAAGAGTGGCGATTGGAGATCCTATGCATATACCGATCTGTGTGCGTTTGTGTTCTACCGGGTGCGTCATCTTTTATGTCGGTATTGAAACATCGAATGACATTTATATTTACCAACCGAGTGATTTGGTTATACGTGTTTCTGAAACGTCAATTTACTACAATTTTAGTCATGAATCGCTTTACACCGAAACAACGGGCCGAAATAGTCACAATGTACATTGAAAATCTTCGTTCAGTTGTGTTAACGCAACGTGCATATCGTCAAAAATATTGTGGCAAACAGGCACCGTCTGACAACACTATCCGTCGTTTGATTTCGAATTTTCTTCAGTACGGGAGGATGGGAGATCGTCAACAAGCACACTTCAAATCTCGCAAAGAAATTCTTTCTGGATGAAAAAATACCAGTTCTCAAATGGCCTTCACAGACCCCGATATAAACCCCATTGAAAATCTATGGGATTACTTAGATACGCAAATACGAGATAAAAATTATTCAAGCAAGGATGAACTTTTTGCCAACCACTCGTGTTGACGAAACGTCAAGTGAAGATATTTCACGACGGCCTAACTACCCAAAAACCAACCAAATAACATTGGATGATGGCCGCAAAAGCCTTTCGCATTTATTTACATTTACTTAATTTTAACAAATATGTGATACCATTTCCATCAGCTCTGGATCATCAAAGTCATAAATTATATGTTCTAGAATATCTCTGTCTGCGACGAATCCTAAAGCTCTGAATACTATCATTATTGGAATTTCTTGCTTGATGTAAGGCAATATAGCAATTATACGTTGACCAATTGCAGCTTTTTTGATAGCCTGGCCACCCCTGGAAATATGAGATTATTAAATTTTAAAAAGAATAGATAAATACTTGTCATTAAATCTAAATATTTCATAAAAACAGCAAAAATGATAACAGGTCCCAAATACCATACATACAACATTTAATTGATCTAAGTAGTGACATGTTATACCAACTTTGAAACATTGCTCTTTTCGCGACGAGTTCTCGTTAGCGTATCAGGTAAATGGGGTTCCAGTAGCGCAAATTAATACAAACGACCACGTCCACGTTGGCCAAGCGCTGAGCATGCTGTAAAGACTGACATTTGCGGTCACTTCTAGAGCATGATGGCACTTCATTGTATTATGTGCTCTATTTCCATAAAACCATCCACAAGTGGAGCAGAGCTGAACTGAATACTCTACACTGCTCTGAACGATACGGGTCTCTATGATCTGAACAGTTTTTAATTATGATTGGGGACCACTTGGCATTTTGGAACGATTGTCAATGGTAATATCAAACCACAGTGACAACATTCGTTATCTAAACGACAGGCCCATAACAACCAGTCTAACAGAGCACTGACAGTGCTGACAATTAAGGATCCATATAATATCAAAATACAGACTCTGTTCTTGGCGCTTTTAACACTTTGGTTTCAGCATCCATATAACATCTCACTAGCAATAAGATTTCAGAATTATTCAATTTAAAAAATGGAACAATCTGAAGAATAATATCTTTCTATGTATGTTTCTATTTACTATATCAAAAAGTTCTATGTATGTATAACCGTTATCAATTCAGTGTATTTTACCAAAAGTTACATACTTCGCCATCATATTCACCCATAGTGTTGATGTTGGTCTTGAACTGTGCTCTAAACATGATCGAATTTCAGATTTATATGCATACTTTCCATCTTTCATTGAGAATACATATACAGTATTGGTCGCCATTTTTTCCTGTGCGATCAGTACTTTTTCTGAACCGTTAATAATGAAATAGCCACCTGGATCCAAAGGACACTCATTCAACTCAGTAAGATCACGATCAGTTAAGCCACTTAGAAGGCAATAAGTTGACCTTAACATAATTGGGATTTTTCCAATGAATGTTTTCTGATGCTGAGTTTCCACTGGATCTTCCCCTTCTTTTACAATTGTTTTGGTAATATCAACATATAGTGGTGCTGAATAGGTCAAATTTCTTAAGCGAGCTTCATTAGGCATCATGGGTGAGGGAGCACCATCTTTCTCCCAATGAGTTGGTTTAGACAGGTATATCTGCTCAAATTTTAGAAGGTACCTGGGTGGATTTTCTATTTCTCCAGATGTATGTTGAGCTTCAGCCTAGAGAATAAAATGGTTAAGCTCTATGAGGTCTGATCAAGAAACAAGAAACCAAAATACAATATGCAAAAATAGCAAAAGTTGGGTTATCTAAGTTTTATATATGAAGAGATCGAACACTTTCATGTTGATCAGTTTTGTTTCCCATATACAGGGTGACTTTGAAGTTGAGTCATTAATTTTCAGGTAATGATTGTAGAAGGAAGATAAACCAAAATATGTGTGTAAAAATAAAAACAAATTAAAAAAAAAATGTTACCTTGTTTTATAAAGTATCCTCCCGACAAGTATTTCAGTACGGACCTGTATTTGATCGTGCGGTCTTGGAGCACCGGCATGCCCTCCCCTGTGAGGTCTTAAGTCACCTGATTCACGAGCCCTTTTTACTACATTAACAAAGGCACGAGGGGTTGGTTGCACTCGATTGGGAAACCGATCCGCATAAATCCGTGATGCCGCGTAAATAAGAATCATTTCCACAAGTTCAGCATTTTCGTAAACATGTGCCATTTTTGATTTCGTTTGAGCCACGCAACAGACACCACTATTCACTCACGCGTTACCGACTGACACTGACTGTATACAACTGAATAAAATAATTGTAAAAACATCGTTCCAAATTCTTTCGCTTTTTTGTTTCCGATGCGATGAACCGATAAGGCGGATTATATCCGTTGTTGCCAAACACGAGCACATAATATTATTATTGAGACAGGGTGGTACTCAAACTTCCAAAGGGCTATAACTTTGTTACTTTAATTTTACCAGAAAAATGGTAAAGGAAAAAACATTTCTTTTGATCAGATCTACTCACTGTTAAAATAAATGACTCAACTTCGAAGTCACCCTGTATACAACTTCTTTTCTAGTGGGTAATAAAATTGTTATAAGGTTTTTTGGCACGTGCATCCTTGCATGCACCCATGTCCAAATAAAAAACCAAAATGCAGCACAGTGGGTTATTAGCTAGCTAGCTACAAGAACATTCTTAGCATTACTGGTGATCAGTGACCAAAAAATATAAGGCATCCAAAAGTGAAGTTAAGGATTTTATACAGGGTGTCCGGTAAATAGTACGACAAAAAATGGGGAAGTGGGGAAGATAGGCGAAGGGCAGATCTCCAACATACCAAAAAATGACCCTACTAAAAGTTTCACACTTTTTGATAGATTGATTTTGTTTGTCTTTTTCGAAATATTTCCTCATTTGATCTAGCTTTCGTTGCTGTACATTTTTATTTCATTGCTAAATACCAAAGTTGAGTAAAATAGTTTTCTAAAATAAAAATTACGAAGATGAAATTAGTTTGTCAAGTTTACCTACTTGTATTTATGGAAAATAATATTTCAATGGCAGACCAACTATGTGAGAATATTTTGCAAAATTAATAATAATATATAATAATAAATAGGGTTTATTGCCCAACAGTTAAGGAAACCATTTACAGGACAATCCTAAGATAAATAAAAATAACAAGAACAGAAAACACCTAAAAAGCAGGTCAGTTCATCTAAAGAAAAAAACAAACAAGAAAAAGAAGCAAAAAACATAATTCACTCAGGTGAGTAACAGATCATAAATTATCCAAGCAATTTCTAGCTACTCCCAGAATGCTGTTCAAACTGCCAGCATGTATATCACAATAATTTGATATTGCATTGAAAGTTTCACACATCACATATATGGGTGCCTTCAAAAACAAATTTGTGCGAGCCCTGTCACAATAAAATATTCTAGCTTTACGAGTTTGAATAGATGAAACATTAAAGTTTATTTGCGCCACAATCCGACGCCACACTTTCTTCTCGGTTCTAAAGACTGCACTTGAAACCTAGACAATAACAAACTTTCAGATATACCACGTTCAGGATATATACCGTCAAATTTAAAAGATACATGCTCGAGAGAATCAATGTAGCAGTTGTCAATTGGATTCCAAATTGATGAATATTCCAATTTCGATCTAATATATGCAGAATACAAAGCCAACAGTGACTCTGGACGGCTAAAGCTTCTACAGTTTCTCACAATAAAACCGTACGCCCGCGAAGCTTCACTCACCTTTTGAGCTATGTGGAGTGAAAAATTAAGTTTATGGTCAAAAACTACACCCAAACCCTTAATTGAGTTATAAAGATTTATGTAAACATTCCCAATTTTATAATTAAATTTACAAGCAGAAGTTTTCCTGGAAAAGCTGACTACACTACACTTCGACGCATTAAAAAAAATTATTCTCGTCACACCAAGCCACTATCCTGTTATTTCTAGGGACAGCAGCAAAAAAGAAAGACAAAAAAATGGTATCTCAAAAACAGTAAAACTTTTACTGGGGTCATTTTTTGGTATGTTGTATATCTGTCCTTCGCCTATCGTCCCTATTTCTTTGTCATACTATTTACCGGAAACCCTGTATATTTGTTGACCTTCTATGTCCAAAACTGATCAGGAACTATAACATGTAATTTTCTATTTTGGTCACCACTGGACCAATTTCCAAAAGCTACAAAGATTTTTAGTTCTTGGCAGTCTTGTCAAAATGTCCTTCCTTGAAGTGGCCCAAGTATAATCTTGGCAGGAGACGTAGACCGAATGATGGAAATAGGTGCAACATCCAAACAACAATATCTAGATTTAAATTTGTTTATAATACTGTGAGAAACAAAAAATACTTTCAATAGGTTTTTTTAACTTAAAGGTGGTTTTTCCGAAAATTTCCTATGTAAGTTTTTTGCAAAAATCACCTTAAAAACAAACAAAATTTTTTTTCTTTTCAAAAAGATGAAAACTACATGATTTTTAGATTATTCTTTAAAAAACGAGACTTGATTGGGTTGACTCAAATACTAGTCTAGAATAAAAGTGCAACAAATGTAAGCTCATAAATAAAATATGTAATTAAGTACTTGTCAAATGGTTATTTTTTTTGTGTGTGAAAAAGCATGTCTTATTTTGAACTTTATTCTAATTTTTACTATGTCATCATTCAAGTCAATTTGTACCATCAAAAAATCAAAAATTTGTACCAGTATAATAATAATAAATTATTTTTCTTTTGACCAACTTTGTATATAAATCGTCAATAGAGCAGCTATATGTAGGGACATAACAAAAATGATAAATAAAACAAGATAATAAAAAACATTTACACACTGATAAACTCAAAACACATGTATTAAAAAACCTTTCAAACAATACTAAAAGTGATTTTGATTTGCTATTCCTTGTATATCTTTTCGAATGATGTTAAAGATTTTGGGACCGAGTATATTTGGCGATTTATTTCCTACTTTAAATTTAGTTACAAACATACACGCGGACGTTTGTTTAAGTAATTTCTCAGACATACGTTTTACTTCCTACGTCACGGGCGAGGAAGTATTGTAATTGCGAAAAATTTCGAAAATGAAATATATTTTTTGGATGTTATATGACATGTACAAAGGGTGCATAGTAGCCGCCAACAGGCCAGTGTTGCCAGACATGGCTGCTTGTAGCCAATTTGGCTGCTTCAAAGGAGTGACTGGCTTCCAAAAAATTAATTTGGCTACTGGCTACCAGTAATGGCTACTTCTAATAAGTAGGGTGCCTTTTGTGTACCTCCCTGACCAGTGTATGATACAAGACAATGATATAGCTATGGGAGAAATGAAACGAAGTTTTTATGTTTTACCCATATGAACGGTACAGGAGAATAAAGACGAATGTCACAAATTTGGTGTTTTGTAGTTAGAACCGGCAACATGTCTTAACACAGTAGAATCCTATGAGGTATTGGAAAGACGCAAAAACAATGACAGATCGTAGTTATATCCAATTGAAAACTTGCCATGGAAGGAAAAAAAGATGAATGTCACAGCTATTATATCAAAAAAAGATGGACGCCCACTGATCGTCAGCGAAACAATTTATCATACACCAATCTGCGACGAAAGAAATAAACGTTAAATAATCATTTTTAAGCAGTTACCGTTAATTTTGTTTTGTTTGTTCTGTATTCTTTTGAATTAAGATTTTTTTGGTTAATTGTCAATTAAAAAATACTTAGAACTAATTCTGTGTGAGCTACTGAGGTTAGATAATTTCTTATACCCTATTTTACGAGTATCCATCACGCTTTGACGTGAACAGCTCATCAACAAGTGACATTTTTGTGTTAGTCTGCAACGTTAGGATGTAAATCTAGCAAAAATTTGTTGGTAGCGTTTTGTGTTTTGTATGCAAATGAACTTTTATAAATAAAAGAGCCTTTAGCAAGTACAAGTTGACTCTGTAGCGTACAAAAACCAAAACAAAATATGGCTCTGTCTACCTGGCATTGACGGAGCCGACAGAATTATGTGTCCTTTGCCGATATGGGGAATTTTGAAATACTACTAGATAACCAGCTGTCATTCTACCGTGATGGATACTCGTGAAATAGGCCTGGACGCTAACACATAAAAAATGTTTAGAGTTATAAGGAGAATCTCAAAATACAAAAATAAAAAGGATTTTCCATTAAAAAATGTTTGGTCTGATTTTACTTTGGGCTACCGTGTATATCAAAGATATTTTTTTATTTATCATTTAACTTTTTTTAACTTCTGATAGTAAGGAATCTATGATACTCCGTCAGAGACCCAACCTGTATAACGAGACTAGGTGACGTCAAACATTTAAATTCCCTTGTCTCGAAACTTACTTTTTGTGACATTCATCTTTCTGTGTGTTAAAAGAGTTAAGTTTATTGTACTGATGTTTCGGTCAGTTGTTTTTTGTACAAAACATTTATACACGTTTGTAAATAAAACTGATGTTAGTTATGTTTCCGTGAGGGCTATATTTTGTTCTGTACACTGAGGTACATATTCAGTCATCAATACGATCAATAGCTATCTGTACCCTGGACTGGATGTGAGTAGTCAACTGCCAAAGGCTTGGCTACAGTTTGTCTGCTTTAAGTTGGCTCTAATGTGGCTACTTTCATTTAAGTTGTCTACACTTGTAAAGAAATATCTGGCAACACCGAGCAGCACGTCTGTTAATTGAGTTATTCATTCGTACTAACAGTGTAAAGTGCGGACTATGGCATTGCGATCAGGTAGTGAGATAGGGACAGTTTTACGCTATAACTTTACACGTGGTTTAAACATACACCAGTGCTTAGAAGAAATGACGATTGCATTAAAGAATGATTGTCCTCATCGTACGACTATATTAAGGAGGTACAGAGAATCCCAAAGGGGAAATTTCACCGTGGAGGGCGCTGAGAGGGAAGGAAGGTCGCGAACGTCAGTAATAGAGGAAAACGTTACTGCGGAGTGAGGGAAATGCTTGACGAAGGCCGGAGAGTGACATACCAACAGATAGAGGAGACCTTACACCTTCGTGCACCAGCAATTCATTCAATTCTGAATTACCATTTACACGTAAGGAAACTTTGTTCTCTGTGGGTATCGGATAGTCTGACGGAAGAGCAGAAGACTAGTCTAGTCGCACGACGGTGCCGAATGATGCTGAAAATGTTTGATAAGCGGCAATCTCGGTATGTGAACAGCATCATGACAGGTGACGAGACTTGGCTCTATTATTATGATGTGTCGGCCAAGACTCAAAACAAAGTTTGGGTCTTTGATGATGAGGACACACCCGTAGCTGTCAGAAAATCCCCATGATAGCTGTATTTTTCAAATCGAGCGGGATTGTGGAGCGTGTCATTTTGGACACACAGAAGACAGTCACAGCTAAGTGGTACACGGAACAGTGCCTGCCTAAAGTCATAAAGTCTATGAAAAACCTGCGGCCAAAGTCAAGAATGGACACTTGGTACCTCCACAATGACAACGCTTCAGCTCACTGCGCCAAAGCCTGCATCGAGTATTTGACCATTACTGGACTAAAACTTATTGAGCACCCTCCTTACAATCCAGATCTTGCTTCCTGCGACTTTGCACTGTTACCGCATGTGAAAATGAAGCTAAAAGGAAAACGGTTTTCTAGCGATGAGGACCTTCTTCTATAGTACCCTTTGTACATCACAAAAAAACATGTCACTCATTTTCGTCGGTCTGTCTGTGTCTGCCTTGGCCCGTCTATAGCTTGGAAAGTACTGCTTGGATTTTGATGAAATTTTTACACACTACTCGTACTATGCCAAGGACGATAAAGCTTTGTTAGTTCCTGAAAACCGGTCCAGTGTCGGTGCAGAAAAAGGTCAAAAACGGGGAAAATAATAATCGCTCAACTTTGTTTTTTGACGTTTCATTTTCAGAACAGGGGCTGGAGGAGAGTATATCTTTTGCTGCTAGTAATTATATGTTTTCAGAATACAAGTGTTGCATTACCTGCAGATCTATCTGTGGCGAATCCTCCACTATTCGCTGCACAGACATCTGAATGAATTCATCAAAGCTATCCAACTGTTGCCTAACTAAACCTTTCTCATCAAAATAAGCATTAATAACAATCCAGCAAGCTTCTTGCCAGAGTTCTGCGCTAATTTCTTCAGTATCTTCATCATCAAATTGATCTGGAAAATACAGCCATATTGATATAGAGTAAAGATAGAGGGTGGGATTCTACTAAAAGTTGGGGCAGCAATTATGTGAATTTAAGATCTAGAAGAGACCCACATCAAATCTTAACAACCGGTTTATAAAACTTTCAGGTTTATCAATGCTTAGTCAAATCATATGCTAGCTTTGAGCTAAAGCTGTAGTTAAGTCTGAAATCCTGTTTATCAATCGCATACCATCTTAGTTTGGAAGCTTCGTGGTGATTGATTGCAAAGATTGAGGTTTTGGATTTCCGTCACTGTCACAATAATACATTCAAACATGATGATTAAAAAAGTCAGGTCAAACAATAAAAGACACGTTTGTTGTGCCTTTCAGGAATGTTATCATCAAAAAATCATTAAAGAATTAAAGGTAGTTTGTACTTAATATGTCATGTAGTTATAATATGAAGGTTCATTTTTGCATGATCCTGTATAAACTACTAATTTTATTTTGATAGATTTTCTACATATAGTGTGATATGACTTGCTTTAACCTTTTACCAATTATAATTACAGATATTACTGAAGTTACAAACATAGGTATACTCATAGTTAGGATACATATTTGACCGAGGCATAAATAATTTATATATATATATATATATATATATATATATATATATATATGTGTGTATGTATAAGCTAGCATGGATGTACTTGTTTTTTGTCTGAGTACAAAATACCAATTGCTTTCTGGCAAAAGTAAGACAAACTCAATGGAAAATTAACTTCAATTTTAAGATAAGTAATGTTTGCCCATCCGTGGTCTCCCATTTTTTTTTATATACCGATGCAGCCGCGCAGGCAGAATCCTAAATGCCTGGGCACCGCGGCTGCTATGATGATCCCAAAGAAATTTTGTTAATACGATTTTTGAACTGCCTGAGGTTAGTAGAACTGGGAAAAGCTTCCTCGGGTAGATTGTTCCACAATCTCGACACCCTCGGGACAAAGGAGCGGTCGTATCGGCAAGTTCTGGATGTACGAAGCTCGATTAGGATGGCAGACGAAAGTCAGGAGGGTCTGTCTGGCAGATACATCGCGCTGCAGCGTCATCAAAGAGAGCTCTGAGGATCAAAGCCCGATGGTGTAGCGGTAGGAGAACCCGTCTATTACGACGGATATCTTGTGGTCAGAGAGGAAATCAGCCAGAGATAAAGTCAGCCACCCATCTGAAAAGCTTCTCTGGGAGGCCATAGGATGGAAGTTTGCTTTTTCTGGGAAGGTGCCGGATTCATAAGATATCTGGAAGAGACGCGAAAGAACTGGAGCAAGCTCCGCTGCACACCTCTTCAGTATAATGGCAGAAATCAAATCCGAACCAGAAGCTTTGTCGATGTCGAGCGACAAGAGCACTCCTCTTACGGTCTCATGCCTGAATGTTACCTCCCACATAGTGTAGGTAACCCTTTGAATTGACGGCACTTGGGCGTTGGCGGGGACGTCCATGGTGGAGTTGGCAGCAAAGATCTTAGCAAGCACTTCCGCCTTGGCCTCTGAGTCGGATACAATCGTTCCATCCTGACACGTACGTGGTGGAAGGCTTCTGTTTGAGGAGTTCTTTTCAATCTGATTGGCCAGCGTCCAGAAAGACCGACTGCAATTGCGCTGTGACATTACCCTTTGCCTAACTTTTGTATCGTGCTGGTTTTTGGCATTGGGAACCGCTTCGTTATATTTGTTTCTGGACTGGACGTCGGCTTGTCTGTTCTCTACAGTGGGGTTTTGTAAGAAGGTTCTGTGTGCCTCGATCTTCTGCTGGCGAGCAGTGTCACACGATTTGTTGGACCCTGGTTTAGGCACTTTCACTGTGTGAGGGATGTATTCCTCCATTCAGACGTGGATAATTTCGGTTATCGAAAAACAGACAGCCGACGCATCCGAGTCATTGAAACAGACATCTCTTCAAGGAAAGGTAGAGAAGAAGTCTCTGAGCCCCTCCCAATCAGCATGTCCGTAATGACTAATTTCGCGGCCTGTACGAGTTTCTGCTGTCACAGCAGGTTCTGACTGAAACCCAACCTCCACAACACTGTGGTCTGAGTTACCCAGAGGGACAGGTCAGCAGTGCTGTAGGGGACAGGATGCTTGGTCAGAAAGAGATCCAGCAGGCTTCTGACATGTGACGAGACGTGGGGGAAAAAGTAGGGCTTGTCACCAGCTGGGTCAGCCCTTGAGTAAGAGCGGACGCTTCAACTGCACGACCATTATCGGCATTTAAATCACAGAGAAGAACTACCTCTGAAGCAGGGTGCTTGATGTTCAGGAAGTCGATCTTGACGGCGAGGTGTTGAAGTAGGTCATCCCAGTTATGGTCTGAGGGATAGAGGCAGCAAATAAAGTTGAGGGATGTTTTGGAGTTGAGGCGAAGCCACAGAATATCCTCCACCATTCTTTCTCAGATTAGAGTGCACCTCATAATTTGGGAAGCTAAGATGGTTAATCGGTGCAGCCTCTGAGATTCTTATCTCCGCCAAGAAAAGCATGGCGAGACGATTGGATTGCAAGTAGTGATGAATAGCATCAATGTTGGTGTTAATCTCGCAGATGTTCGTGAAACAAATTTTATCTTCGATGTCGTTCCCTCGAGCCCACCCGCCACCCGAACATTCCGAGAGTGAAGTGAGTTTATGTCCCTCATCTCTAGGACAACAAACGAAAGTGTTCCAACTGCCTCCAGGAGTTACTTGAAGTAAGACAGTGCAAAGCGCCATCTATCACTAGGTCAAGGTTGCAGATGAAAATAAATCCTCAATTTTAGAATTCAAGCCCCTAACATTCTGATATACCCAAAATTCAGAGGTGCTGGGTCTAGTCAGTTTAAATTACCAACAATTTTCAGAAGACCATATATACATTTTATTCTAAGGATCTCCCCTGCAGCAATCCTTTAATCCTATTCATGTTTGGCCTTTCTGTAATAATCTAGTTGCTGGGATTCTATCCATGGAGATACTTATCCTTATTACTGTTATCATATCTGAGTTTAGCACAACTCTTGAATGTTCTCTAAAGAACCTTTACTGGCCTAAGTTTAGCAGTTGTGGGATCAAACTTTCTGCACCTGAATAGTTTGACATTAGTATCAATTTCAGTAGAAAGAGACATCCATATACTATTGACCTCTTGATTATCATGATCTCATCATTATCTGTAACGACTTTGATATACTTTGATCTTCAGCTCAAATATAATATTTTGTTTCCTAAAATTCCTCCACTGAATCTTTTGGAAAAATTTCTCATATTCTGGAGATTTTGACTCTACAGAAGGTTAAGATCCCCTTTTCAACTTTTCTGGGTCCTTCATTAAATTGTCCACTGTTTGATTTAATTTGACAATCCCCATAATAAAACTCGAGTAGTCATTTGGTTTCTCGCGAGCGTCACAGGTTAAATAAGAGCTATTATAAGGTATTTTTACATTTTAAACATTCCATGGTCAGGTTGCTTCCATCACTGTCCTTACAGAGTTATGGAATTTACAAAGATAAACAAGGATCATGCGACCTGGACTAGTTTTTACATATGATAGGTTCAGCAATTGTAGCATAACAATTAAATAAATAATACATGTCTTATTCACTATAGATCAATATGATGAATCGAGCAAGCATACAGATAAATGGCTTGTTTCTCCAGCAGTAATATCATAGAAGTTTCAAATATTTACCACTAAAATTGCTGATTTCTCAGGTCCACTATATGGCAGCACACACATATCTTAACGAAAAATACATATGGTTTAAATAAGTTAAACCTGACGGTTTTCAGGTTTAACTTTGATATATGAGTTTGAGGCGGATAAACACTTCAACACTCTTAGTTAACGGATAACTAGCTACGCATTGATAAACCGGCCAGAAAGTAGTCAAATAGTAGCAATGAGCAATTTGGAGAGCTTGTACGGTCATTTTATTGATAAAAAGGTAACGTAAGACAATGTAATTTTACTATATTACCTTCATCTTGCTCATACATCTTGAATTGTTATAGTTCACCCCAAAAATCGGCCTTTTTGCTATATAATTACTTAAGTATCGAAAACACAACGAACTTGATACCTTGATAGTGGCGAAGTAAACACCACCACTATCCACTACCACCAGTACCACCAGTCTTTTTTGCTTTTTGTGACAGGTGACAACCACAAAACTGGCAACTGATATAATTGACAGCTGACAAGCATATATGCCACAAGCGACAAAAATATCTACAATCTACACTGGGAGAACGGAACAAGAAATCTGAGCATCGAAATATGAACTAGAATCACAAAACACATGACTGGATGGAGCTCCAACGAATGCTACATGTAAAGGGTTGTCCAATAGGGACGCAGGAAAGTAAACGTCAATTTGACACAGACGCCATCTTTGTTTTCTGTTACCGACACCGACATGTCATTTTGTTAGTTGAATGTTTACCATTGATCGCTATTCGCTATGGAGTCGTATTCGATTGAAGACCGCATTAAAGTTATTCAAGAGCACTACAAAAATGGTGCAAAAATAAAAAACACGTTTCGCGCGCTTCGTGAACATTTCGGTCGCAACAACCGCCCAAACGTAACAATCATCGGTCGTCTGGTGCGTAAATTCGAGGCAACAGGTTCTGTGGCAAATCTGCCAGGCTCTGGCCGGCCAAGGAGCGTTCGCACATCGGAAAATATTGCTGTTGTGAAGGAGAGTGTGAGAGACGATCCGAAATAATAACGCGTCGATCCCAAGAATTGGGCATTTCGAGAACCAGTTTGCATTCTCCACAAGGATTTGAATGTACACGCCTACAAGATCCAATTGACGCAAGAGCTGCGTCGGGCCGACCATTTTTCGCGCCGAACGTTCTCAGATTGGCGCCTTGAACACCGCCAAATTGATGCCAATTTTTCATCAAAAATCATGTTCAGCCACGAAGCGCATTTCACTTTGAATGGGACGGTAAACAAGCAAAACTGCCGCATCTGGGCGAACGAAAATCCCCGTGAGTATCAAGAGCAGCCGATGCATCCTCAAAAAGTGACTGTGTGGTGTGCATTGTGGTCAAAAGGCATCATCGGACCTTACTTTTTAGAAAATGCGGCCGGGGACGCCGTTACCGTCAATTCTGAGCGATATCACGTGATGATAGAGGACTATTTTTTGCCGCAACTTGAAGGAATGGATATGGACAATGTTTATTTCCAACAAGACGGTGCAACATGCCACACAACCAACGTCAATAACCATCGATTGCAGTCCTTCGGTGATCGCGTGATTTCGCGCAGAGGAAATGTGCCATGGCCACCAAGATCGTGTGATTTGACTCCCTTGGACTTCTTTTTAGGGGATATTTGAAAATCAAAGTCTAGTCAACAAACCAGCCAGCCTCCAAGAACTCAAAAACAACATCATTGCCGAGATAAATGCCATAGAACTGACCATGTTGCAAAATGTCATTGTAAATTTCGACAATCGCGTGGACGTCTGTGGTGAACATTTGAGCAATATTATTTTTCATACATAAATGGTATAAATGAACTTTCAAAATAAAGTACCCAACTTGATTTGAATATCAATCTTTCTTGTTTTAATATGTGTTTACTTTCCTGCGTCCGTTTTGGACAACCCCATATTATGGATCGAATTATATCGGCGCCATGTTGCAGGATTAAGCACAGGGCCGTAATGATATGAGATAGAAGCAATTCTGCAAATATATCATTATCCAACAGGATTTATATCAAAAAAAAAAACAAAGAATGTATTTTTTTTTACTTTATTGGCCAAGACTGATAACATATTTTATTCTTGATATGAGTTTCACTGTTTTACTACTTCAAGTACATAGATTTTTTAACACTGCACTACAAATACCTGTAACTGAACAAAAACTGACACAGTACACCCCGGTTCTAAATACAATGTGAATTTTAATAATATATGCTCAAAGTTTTGTGAAATGGTAGGCCTTTTTCCAATACCTCCTTAGAATAGCGTCTCCTAAAATCCCACAAAAAATGATCAATGAGAATAGAATTTGCTTTCTTATCATCCAGCTTCTTATTAACATATTCCTTTATGAGTTCTACTGCATGTACAGTACAAGCGCGGATTTCAACCTCTTCTTCATCACCATTCTTCAATATTACATTACTTTTTAATTTTTCATTCAAGTCCTTGGAATATTGAAATACTTCAAACCAAAGCAAGGTCTGTGGAACTCTGTAGTCTGCAAAGGCAGTTATTTTGTCAATATCTTCAAAATAACCTATGTCTTTATTCTTGAAACACGCCCAAATATCTCCAATCAATATCTGTGCTCTTTTATAAATGCCAATCTTTTCACCCTGATACTCAGCCTCATCCCTGAAGCAACTGAAGTTATTCACAATCAGCTGCAATAACTTTTCGGCGCTGTTATTACACTGCTTGACCACATTCTTGAAGGATCCATCAAATTTTTCCAATAAGGCGTTGCCAACTTCATGCAAACATTTTACTCTATCTGGTATAAGAGGGCATTTAACTTTAGAATCACTTCTCAAAATATTTGTCAGTTGCTTTTCAGTGATAGCACTGTAAAATGTTGGATTTGTAATATCCACCTGAAAGAATGGTTTTGAATCATCCTACTGAATGTTTCATAGAGCAAACATTCAAGAGATAGTTATGAATGTAGAAAGTAAGGCAAATGTCACACAATCATTATTTACAGTGCTCTATCAGCATTTACAATGTGATTATTCACTGACCATGTAGCATAGGTGCTAGTAATTATTGATGTATAAGGGTACGGAGAATTTCTCTGATACTTATGGAATCATTATGGTACAGCCTACAGCAAATACTGACTTCATGACAAATCAGTTATAATTTCTTGCCTAGACTAGCAATATAAGTAAAAAGAAAATGCCCCCAGTTTTTCAATTTTCCACAGCACCAAAGTAGGGATCCCTTCAACTGCTGTCCCCCAGCTCCTGTGCTCTCAAGAGCCCCTACATGACTTGAAAAAGATTCTTCATTTAATTCATAAAAATTGCATCTCATGGCAATATTAACTATGTCTAATTCATCTAGATCTAAAATCAAGTCCTGTTTCTAATGATAACAATAACTGATCAAAGAATAAGCACTTCACATGCCCTTTATGCTACTTCCACTACCCCATGTTACCCTACCACATGTGCTCATCATTTAAACAGAGTGAGTTTTATCAGGGAGGCCTAAAGAATAGTTTACAAACATAATGAGTGATTACACTAACCTTCTCTTTGATAGCCCTATTGATTGCAGCGCATAGAGCAAAGTACCCTGTATATCCTTCAACTACCCAACCTTCATCATTTTCATTATGCCAGAAGCAAAAGTTGAGAGTATCTACTACAAACAACCAATCCAAAGCCCATGGTTCATCTGGAGAAGGATGAACTTCTACTTGGCTGAAATTGTCTGGTGACAGTTGTCCAGAAGTTATTTCTTCTACAATAACATCTCCCAATTTGTTTATGCCTTCTTCCTTGATTTTCACATGTTTCGCCTTAGATGCAATAATTTTTGCGCCTTCTTTGGGGGATAATACCATGGTGCACTTCAAATTTCAAAAGATCCAAAGGAACGTAATAGAAGAAAATCCAGCCTACCGGTATGGGATCTTGAGGAGGAAGTCACAAAATCTGGTATCCCTTTATTTATTTTATTTTAAGATTAGATAGTAAAGTTGTTTGTAAACAGTTCAGACCGAACACCGATGTAAAAGCACGTGGTAGAAGCAGCAAGATTTCGGCCGATACACGCAACCAGAATTGCATTAACAAAAGACTTGTCGTGGATGAACCCGACATTATAATATGAGACGTTTCTATTCATCATTGTCTGCCAGAGCGGTCCGTAGGACATTTGCTCTTGGTTAAAGTCTTGTAAGTCAGTAGGTCCGGTTGCTCAGATACCAGACAAAGTTGGGGAGAAAGAAGGGAAGAAGAAAAGAAGGAGGGAGAGCAAAATTGATCCTAAAATTAATTTAGAGATTGGTTGTTGAAGAAAAATTATAATTTTGGTTGGACCTAAAGTCGCACGATTTAATTTTGTTCACAGTACGAGTCGCGGCCTTGTGTGTTTGCGAACATAGCTGCGCTTGTTGTTTGATGTAATCCCTTGTGTAAGGGATGTCAAGGTCTCTGAGAAGGGTCTCATTGAAGACGTACCATGGGCGAGAAAACACCAAGCCGCACTTGCGTAAGTGACCGCTGGTCTAATAACCATCTTCTACAGCCGAACTTTGTTGATCAAACTTAATTTTGTTCTACATAGCATAGGGTAGACTTGCCAAAACGAGATTTGGAATTCTGCCAGGCCACCCCCTTGTTAGGAGTGACATTGAGATACTTAGCAGAACTTTCCCATGGTACCCGAGCTCCATTCACCGACACCTCGGACGGGCGCCGCGACGTTTTTTAGTACAATAGATAGCCTGCGTTTTCAAACGATTAATTTTGATCACCCACCGATTCGCCCATTCCAATACCTCGTGCACTAAACATTGCAGCCTAGCGTGAACTAGATTCCCAGAACACGACTGGGCCACCAGGGCAGTGTCATCAGCATAGAGATAGATCTCACAGTTGCTGGGGCTGGGTAAAACAACCGAACCCTGAGGTGGACAGAATGTTATTAATTATCGATCAATTTGTAGAGAAGGCCCTTGTGCCACACCTTGTCAAATGCCTGTGAAACATCCAGAAGCAAGATGCCAATACTTTCGTTACGGGCGAACCCACTGGTTACTCGTTCAACAAGCGTAACCGCCTGTAACCCGTGTTATGCTGAGACCGAAAGCCAAACTGCACGTCAGGAATCACATTGTGATCTGACGAGAAATTCTCAAGGTGGCGTAGAATCACCTTTTCTGCGAGCTTAGAAGGATCTGACAGGAGACTAATGGGGCGGTAATCCTGAGATCCTGAGGGAATATCGAACCCACCTTCTTTGGAATCATTATAACTTCAGAGGTCTTCCACGCCGCTGGGAAGTGTTGGGTCCTCAGCATGGCATTGATTTATTGCCACGAGATAAGTTAAGGACTTCTGCGAAAGCAGCTTCAGCGCCTTATTAGTGATTCGATCCTCTCCAGGTGCTTTACGCAACTTGAGGTCTTTAATATGACCACTGAGAAGTTTGGCACTGAGGGTAGAAGCGAGTTACATGAAAAAGGTATGGATACCATGGAGCTTGAACAACACACCAGTTGTTGGTAATCGGATATACTCATTTCATAAAACCTCGTTAATGGTATATCGTCGGTAAATCCGCAGTTCAAATGCTTATATGTCATCTAACATAATGATAAAACCTCGTATTCGGAGACAAAGTAATTTGGGATATAAGTGCAATAATCAAAACCACGTATTAGGCGAACGCGTTCAAAAACGTGTATGAGCCTGTAAACCCTTTGCGGTGTGTGGTATGAGAACGCGGTCTATAATAAATTGTATTTTGCGTTGTCAGTACACGGTTTTAAATCTTCAGACGAGACTGATAACGTTACTTAGAGGTAAGTTAATGTATTGAAATATATTTTTCAATTATTTGATTATTATTAAATTAGTTCACACTCGCTAAAGAATTATTTTCCGATACATGGTTTGTTCGGTCAAAGAGTATCCCTTAGGCGTTATGCTCATCAGCATCTAAATTCCAGCATGTGTATATTTTTTTCTAATTGACTGTGAACGTTACATGACTCGGGTATTCTTTTTATAGGAAAATGGTATCAGCTAGAAGCCTCTTGATATTGAAGCTCGCACAGGAGAATTCAGATGTCCAGAAAATGTCTACAAAAAGTAGTCAAAACCTGTCGCTCATGGTTCTAGATCAAGAGCCGCCTCACCTAACCCAGGCTATTTTTGGTGAAGTGGGTGACGATAGTGCAAGCTGATTTTCTACCAGTAAACAATGCCGATGAAATAGAGCATTATAACCTGATAAGTGAGACTGGTAGTACTTTGTCTAGTGGCATTGTTGGTGTTAAAAATTTCGATATTCAAACAGAAACTGCTGACAACCATTACCGTGGAAATGAAAATATTGAAAATATGCCAGGAAGTGAACAGAATGTCGTTAGGGAGGGTGCTGAAGCTACTTTTGGTGAAGAAACTACGTATAAAGAAAGATAAAGTATGGTGCACCATGAACCGACCTTGACTAAGCTTTTACCAGTAACTAATGTCAATGTCACGACCCAGGAGAACTTGGAAACTCTTCTGGACAATACGTTGCAGCTTGATAATGATCCAGATTTCGATATTAACAGAGACCTAGAAAATCAATCGGAAGGATATGGAGAGATCGAATATATTCGAGAATCTGAATAAACCATTGTTGAGGAAGATGTCGAGAATAATCCTATTGGAGAAAATACGCAAGAAGCAAGAAAACGGACAGGCTTAACAAGAAATAAGAGACTGAAAGAAAAAAGACGACGCTTGCTTGGGGAAGAATATGAAGGCTTGCCATAAGTAGACGGACAGTATCGTTATGAGAAATCTGGAGAAAGGCTAGAAAACTTGGTGCAAGATGTGAATCCAACACATGTGCAAAAACAAAGAGGCTTTGTCAAGAGTTTACCGAAAATGAAAAAGCATCTTTAATACCTTCTGGACTAAAATGACCTCCTGGAATAGCAGAAAATCATGTGTCAGTGCCTTGGTTGATGTTAAACCCAGTAAAAAACACAAAGAAAATTCAAGAAGATCCGTTTCTTTATTTAACTTCCTGAAAAAAGATTTACAAAAATTCTCTGTTTGCAAGAAAATGTTTTTGTCAACTTTAGGACACAATGAATGGTCTGTAAGAAATTGGTGTCTCTCCGCTGAGCAAAACACTGGAATGCATTGCAATGAGGATGTTGCTGTTTCTATTTCTCGCGTAAGGCTTACACAGACAATGAAAGAACGAAAACTGTTCTTGACAAAGTTCCTAGAAGACATTTCTAAGCTACCCAGTCATTATTGCCGTTCACATATATAGGCAGTTTCAAAGATATTCTGAAGAGAATAATGTTGAACCGCTGTCTCGCAATTACTTTGTACATGAAATGGATCGCCAGAATATCGCCCTCTTCAGACCAAAAAAGGATCAGTGCGACCTGTGCATCTCATACCAGCATGGTCACATTGAAGAGCAGGAATATCAGCTGCATCAAAAACGAAACAATGAGGCCAGAAAGCAAAAAAGTGCAGCTAAAGAAATTGCTATTGCAAATCCCGAAAAGGTTTTAGTCCTCGCACTAGATATGCAAGCAGTAAAACTAGCTCCAATTGTGCACAGCCATAAATTTAAAAAAACCTATGTTTACACTATTTGATTTGGGAAATAGAAACGTATATTGTTTTTTGTGGGATGAAACCCAAGCCTCCTTGGATGCCACGAATATAGCATCTATTGTATACAAGTTTCTAGAAACCTACATTGAGGAACATCCCAGACTAGAAAGAGTTGTTTTAATAAGCGACGGTTGTGGGTATCAAAACAGTAATGCTGTTTTGTCGAATGCCCTGTTACATCTGGCAATGAAAAAAAAACATAACTATTATTCAAGACTTTCTTGAGAAAAGCCATACTCAAATGGAGGTAGACAGTGCCCACAGCCTTATAGAAAGAAAACTGAAAAAAAAAGATATATACCTGCCAACAGATTACATTCACCTGTGGAGAGAAGCCCGACCAACCAAACCATTTATTGTGAAGTATTTATCTTACACTGATTTCCAAAATCTGACTAATATCAGATATTATACTAACATCAGGCCAGGTTACAAAGTAGGAGACCCTGTTTCAGATATCCGTTCTCTTAAATATGAGCCTAAGAGGGAGATCCTTTACAAAATTACTCATTCTGATTGGCTAAAAGGCCAACTTTATTATACATCTTCACAATCACCAATCAGTACACTGAAAGTCTTATAATAAAAAAAATGGATTTCGCTTTGGTCATATTATGAGGGTCTTCCACATAATTAATGGACTCATAGTTTTAAGCTATTTCGTTATAGTACTTTTATGTAATAAATGTTCATTCCCTCTAAGTATTATGTTATGTTATAACCTGAGTTCATAATCTCGGATAAGAAAAAATTGGCTGATCCAGCAAATCAAAACCACGTATGAGACATACATTTTATAAATTGAAAAGCTTGAAGGAAAATAACATATTTCATTAAATAGGAACTAATTCTATTCCCATATATAATACAGTCTTCATGGAATATCTGAAAGTAAAGATATGAGCCAATTAATTGTTCACTCTGTAAAATTATACATTTCTCCCATAAGAGGTTTTGCGGATTCACCGACGATATAAGATAAATGTCATTTCTATGGTGCAAATTATATGAACCACAATCGCGCAACAAAGCGTTGATCGCACTTCAAGGGCCGACACTCATGATCACTCATACTAGCTCAACCTCATAACGCTCTATTCTTCAATAGAACGGAGGTCCCGAGTGGAACAGCATGGCCCATTTTAGTAGCAAGATACGATCGTGAATGGGGGAGCATAAGGTAGCGGCTAATGTCCAGCGAAATCGTAACCGTGCTGTAAGATAATTATTTTTTTGTCTTGGTATCAAATGAAAAATGTTAAAACGCGAATCTACTTTATAAATTATACATATAAAGATCTTTTTTTAAAAATTACATTCACATACTATTTAAAAAACATACTGTTTACAAAGCGCTCTAAGAAATGTACTTTTCCTTAAATTACTAGCTTCTTGCTGTATCTCTTCATTATTACTAGCATTCAACTCCAACATCCCAATTATCTGCACTGCACACTTCTTCCTTTGGAACTCCCCCCTTTTATGGTGGTGATAGATTAAAAACTCCAAGATGCTAATGTCCCAGAAACAGTGATAGTAGGCGTCTACTGCATCATTACAAGTCTTCGGATCGGAGAGTATCCTGAAGGCTAGTGTATAATCAGTTTCTTCCAGAAACTGACAAAGCACTGCAGCTTGAGTGTGACACCCTAACGTAGTACAGCACTTGATCATCCTTCTAAAAATGGGATCATCAGGCCGGACTGGGATGTTAAAGTAATCGTAGTAGATTGAGAGGGATTTTAGATAATAACTCAGAGATATCCTGTAGTGGCAACTTGCTGAAAAGAGAGCAAGAAAAATAAAAATCAATAAGTTGATGTGGCTTCATAGTTTTTTTCAGACGGAAATGAAAATACTTCATTATGAAAATTCACAAAAAAGTGCATCGTTCAATTACAGGGTGTTTCAAAGTTGGACCTTTTCTTTACCCTTAATATGGTTCTGGTCAAAATAAGCAAATTTTCCTAGTAACACATCCACCAAAGGCTTAAAAGGTAACAAAGATATCAGATTCCGAAAAAAATCCGCTGCGCTAAATTCAGTTCTGCATTGCGAGCGAATAGTTAGCTGAAAAAATACGATACGAGACAGTAATCAACACAAACAGGACTGTTTGTTTACGAATCAAATTTGAGACCTCCTATAGCAATAGCGAATTGGTTGATATGATGTTAGTTTAGAGTCAGCGTTTTCAAGATGCTGCTGAAGCTTCCCGAATTTATTCGGACCATTTCCCTGTATACTTCCATGTGGCGCTGAGTCAGATTCTTTATCTCCTACCAAAAGTTGAGTTCGCAGAAATGTTGAGATGGAACACCTAGACAACCTTGAATCGTCGAGCATAACCTTCTGTTTTTGGAATAAAACAGCGGTAACTTGGAACAATGTGTCAGAGCGGTACTTGAGATTTCCCATCAGAAAAACAGTGAGTACATTCCTTTAAATTTTGTTTCATCTTTTGACTGCTAATTTATGACACATTAGCTTTGTGATTTGAAGCATAGTTGTTCATGAAAAATAATGTTCCAACTTTAAGATCATCTTGTATATTCGCGTTTATTGAAAGAGAAAATCCATGTTTTAAAAACTGCAGAAAAAAGTCAGGACAAAAAACGACTTTTAGAATATCGTATTTGTTTCAATGCCGAGAATGGACTTCCTACAAGGGGCAAAAAGTGTGCCTAGTATACATATATGAGACAATGATTTTGCTTGAGCAATTTGGTACATTTCTGCAGTTACAAGAGTGGGGCTTAGCAATTAATACTGGCACATTCATGGATCTAAAAGTTAGATCAGGAAAACCTTCGAAGTGAAGCAGCTCTAATTTTGAGACGCACTGTAGATGAATACTTACCAAAATTTAAATCACCCATCAGACGCAGCCACGATACAGAAAATGGAATATTTGTTGGATGTTCTTTCAACGCATAGGTTACTACATCCCATAATAGATCAGAAACTGCTGTTACATCGTACGAGTTTGCGCTACAAATTGAGACATGGACATGAATTGGCCTTGTGAATAAAAAAGTATTTTATTTCTCTGGTGTAATTCAGTAAAAACAAGTTTATATTATTCTGAGTGATATCACACCAAAACATTCATGCATGTACATGGGGATCAAAACGTGATTAACAATATTTATAAAAAAAACCTATATCCTATGATTTCACTTACTTGCTAATAGTTACAGGCCAAAGGCTAACATAATCCACTTGGAGATCCAGGCTTGACTCATCTTTGAGTATATTGAACAATTTCGATAGTAAAGAAATGATTACAGCCAAACACATGGAATCCTTAAGCTTGAAAAACACTGATACCAGATTGCTTTTCAAGCTTGATGTGAGGGTTGATGGCTCCACAAAGCCACTACCGCCCCTTTTCGCCTGTGAAGGCGGTCCAAAAATTGGCACCACTGAAAAGTTTAAAATAAATCATTATGGAGTTTGAGCCATTACTCAGGTTTCAAGGCAAATGATATACTTTTCTTTCAAAAATCATATACTACTAACCACCGATTCAGAACTTCAATGGGTGAAAGAAACGGAAAACGAAGTAAAAAAATGTTTGGCAGTCTAGAATAGGATAACGTACGACACCAGCATTGTGTCCATGGTCATCTAGGCCCACTATAAACTGGGTGAGAAGACCGCACTGTGCCCAGCTACAAAGTGTCAACTATAAAGAGGATCCGCAAGACCTTCAATTATATTCATATTGTCTTACCCAGATCCCATAAATGCTTGGGTAGCTTCTTGCTTCCTTTCTGTTTTATAATCTCCTGACACGTCATAGCAATAGCAGATGTGATCTCGAAAATTGCCCATTTTTTATCTATATTCACCAAAAACTCCCATCTTCCTATATTCAACAAGTAAATTGAACACATTTCTACTATTTCACTCCTTGGCAACACAGAGTCATTCGTTTGTAAACATGCTTCACAAGCATCAGCTAATGCATGTTTATCTAGAATTTAAAAGACATTTCAAATGTGTGTTACCAATAAGATCACACAAACATCATAGGGAGTGTAAATTATTGCAAATATTTAGTCTTGTCACTGACTGATTAATGGATTCTCCAAAAAGTTTTCTTACGATTTCCATCATCATGGCCATCTTGCCAAGTATTTTCCTTTTTAATAAACGTGTTTATTCTTATACATAACATCAACCTTTCAGGTAAGATCCCCTCTCAATCTTCCTTGTAATTATTCCTAAGATTCTGTATTCTCAGAATTTCTCAACAATAACTTTGAATGATGTTTGTGTTGTCATTTATTATTTACAACCGGGAAGAACCACATATTACCAATGCCATTAGGATTCTTAGTCCATTGATCCAGAACCTGCAATATTTGTACCAACAAAATTTCCCAACTCACGAGTTTAAATAACTTGGAAATGTTTATGTTTGATGCTTCCAGCTCTTTTTCTAAAATGATCAGAAACTCCAGAGCGAGATTGTAATTTTTATTCAAAACTTGCTCTTTTGACTTTGCCAACGTAACATATGCATAGTCTTGCAAGAATCCTAAAAATAATGAAATTTAATAGCTACATAAATGCAAATAGTTTGAAATCTAAAATCCTACCTCTTGAAAGAGATTTTATGACACTCTGCAAGGGAATAGGTAATTCCCATAAAGGGTTAATGCTTGGAATATTTGTTCCCAAATTCATCATAGCAATTTTCATAAGAATATCTCTTATTTCCTTGTGGTCATTTGTAGCTATCAACTGCTTCTCTAACTGCTTCAATTCCTTACTTGGTTTACCTACAAAAACGAATTACATTAAACAATGACAGAACTATCCCTAAACTTACGTCATTGCTTATGCCAAGATACTTACGCTTTTTTGGCATATCAAAAAGAGGGTCAGATATATCAATTCTATCTGGCAGATCAACATGGGTGTCCACTTTTTGGAGGTAACTTATGTCGGCAGCTGTAAACATTGTGCTCAATTCATCATTTGACTGTATCTTCTTTAACAGGTCTGGCAAATCTTCAGTAATAATCAACTCCATCAAATATTCTTTCACAATATATTTGTCCCTGTCAGAGAACATCTTCCAGCTCACTTGAATTGCCTGAGGAATTAAATTTTTAAATTTTTATCTCCATATCTCTGATTTGGAATATGTGAAATTTCACAAAGAAAAGCAAGTCATGCTTTTGTTGCCCATCCCAAAATACTTCATGCACTATATATACTGAATATACTCTCATTTTTCAATTAGAGTACTTAATAACTAAAATAATGAAAGTATAAAAAACTATTAGTCTCAAAACATGAGGCTTTTAGTAGCATACAATCCAAACTATTCCTCAAATGTCTTAGACGCCCTAATTAAATCACACAAATGTATGAATATTACTTACCGAAATTAGTAAGTCTGCATTCTTTAAAACACTGGAAGAATACTGGTAAAGTGGTTTTTGGTCCAAAATGCATCTAACTATATTAAGAGCTTTAATTTTCTGCAGTAAGTCTCTAGCAACTGTGAAAATACCACTGGAAATAGCTCCTTGTATATCTAATTCTAAATTCAAACGGTGTACCAAAGGTATTTCTCTATAGATGTTGTCCTGTTGTAAGATCGTTGTCAAACCCTAACAAGGAGAATTACCGTTAATTATAAAGGGTTTCCCAATAAGGACTGGTCGATATTAAAATGGGTTAAAACAACTCGTTTGTAAGATACTGTGTTTTGCTTCACACGCTTACTGGCGGGGAAGTATTGTAATCAAGAAAAACCATGTCACTCATTTCCGTCGGTCTGCCTGTCGGTCTGTCCGCTAATCTTATAACTGCCTATAATTTGAGAAGTACCGCTCGGATTTCAATGCTACTACTAAGCCAAGGACGGACAAGCTTTGTAGCTTTTGAAAATCCGTTCAGTGGCGACAGGTAAGAAGGCCAAAAACAAAACAAAAACGCTCAAACTTTCCTTTTTTGACGTTTCAGTCAATCCTGATCATTTTTATTTAGGCATAAGACTGTAAGACGAGTGCTCTTGTCGCGCGACATCAACAAAGCTTCCGGTCGGACTTGATTCCTGTCATTGTACTGAAGAAGTGTGCAGCGGAGCTTGCTCCAGTTCTTTCGCGTCTCTTCCAGATATCTTATGAATCCGGCAACTTCCCAGAAAACTGGACATTTGTTCATGTCTAACCCATCCCAAAAAAGGATATAAGACCAACTCTTACATCTACAGGCCTATAGCTCGCTTTCTGTAATAAGTAAGTAATAAGTTTCATGAACATCTGCTGGATTAACAGCAACATCGATGCTGTTCATCACTATCTGCAATCCAATCGTCTCGCCATGCTTTGCTTGGCGGAGACAAAAATCTCAGAGTTTGCGCCGATGAACCATCTTAGCTTCTGAAATTACGAGGTGCAGTCCAACCTGAGATAGAACGGGGATCTTTTCTGCTCCAGAGTCTTTGCTTTGGAATCAGACCGGAAGGTCATTCTGTGGCTTCGCCTCAACTCCAAAACATCCCTCAAATTTATTTGCTGCCTTTATCGTTCTCCCTCGGACCATAACTGGGATCACCTACTTCAATACCTCGCCGTCAAGATCGACTTCCTGAAGAACAAGCACCCCGCTTCAGAGGTAGTCCTTCTCTGTGATTTAAATGCCCATAATGAGCTTTGGTTGGGCTCAAACAAGACCGATGCAGCTGGTCGTGCAGTTGAAGCGTTCGCTCTTACTCAAGGGCTGACCCAGCTGGTGACGAGTCCTACTTTTTTCCTCGCGTCTCATCACATGCCAGTAGCCTGCTGGATCTCTTTCTGACCACGCATCCTGTCCCCTACAGCACTGCTGTCCTGTCCCCCTGGGTAACTCAGACCACTGTGTTGTGGAGGTTAGGTTTCGGTCAGAACACGGTGTTTCAGCAGAAACTTGCCCAGGCCGCAAAATCTGGCATTCGGACATGCCGACTGGGAGGGGCTCAGAGACCTTCTTCTCTACCTTTCCTTGGAGAGATGTTTGTTTCGCTGTCGCGGATGAGTCGACTGTCTGTTCTTTGATCCACATCGGATTGGAGGAATACATCCCTCATACAGTGGAAGTGCCAACACCAGGATCCAACGGCTGGTTCAACAAACCGTGTTAGACTGCTCGCCAGCAGAAGATCAAGGCACACAGAACCTTCTTACAAAACGCCACTGTAGAGAACAGACAAGCCGACGTCGAGTCCAGGAACAAATATAATGAGCACGATATAAAAGTAATTCATAGGGTAATGTCGCAGCGCAATGGCAGTCGGTCTTTCTGGACGCTGGCTAAGCAGATTGAAAAGAACTTCTCACACAGTAGCCCTCCACCACTTACGTGTCAGGATAGAACTATTGTAACCGACTCAAAAGTAAAGCCGGAAGTGCTTGCCAAGATCTTTGCTGCCAACTCCACCATGGACGTCCCCCCAAACGTGCAAGTGCCGTCGATTCAAAGGGCTCCCTACACTATGCGGGAAGTAACATTCAAACATAAGACCGTAAGACGGGTGGGTGCTCTTGTCGCTCGACATCAACTTAGCTTCTGGTCCGGACTTGATTCCTGGTATTGTACTGAAGAGGTGCGCAGCAGGTTGCTCCAGTTCTTTCGCGTCTCTTCCAGATATCTTATGAATCCGGCACCTTCCCAGAAAACTGGAAATTTGCTCATGTCCAACCCATCCCAAAAAAAGGATCGAAGACCGACCCTTACAACTACAGGCCTATAGCTCTGCTTTCTGTTATACGTAAGGAGATGGAGAGGTGCATAAATAGCGAGCTTCTGGACTACCTCGAACGTCACAGCTTGATTAGCGACAGACAGTATGATTTCCTGCACCAGCGATCCACGCAATTGTGAAGTAAATCATCGAGTCTTATGGTGAGGCTCATGTCGTTACTCTTGATATCACGAAAGCGTTCGATCAGCTGTGGTACACTGCCCTATTAAGCAAACTTCCATCCTATGGTCTCCCAGAAAAGCTTTGCAGATGGGTGGCTGACTTTCTCTGACCGCAAGATATCCGTCGTAATTGACGGGTTCTCCTCTTCATCCCACAACGTCAACGCGGGTGTTCCCCAGGGATCGCACTTGGCTCCGACACTGTCCTCTTACGTATCAACGACCTCCTTTCCTGTACGATCAACATAATCCACAGTTTCGTTGTTGACAGCACTCTATATGCAGGGACTCGGACTGACAAGCTGATCGCTGCTGCTCAGCTAGAAAAGAGAAGATTAGCGACGACTTCCTCTCTGACGAGAGACCTGGAGGTTATCTCTGCTTGGGGACGCAACAATTTTGTACAGTTTAAAGCTTCCAAAACTGAGTACTGTACCTTGACGAACAAAAAGCGTCGAGCGCTCATCCGGTTTCGATGGATGGTCGAGTTCTGCAAAAGAGCCGTTTATTTCGGCTGGTCGGGGTCCAGAACACCGAGGACTTGACTTGGCACAAGCACATCTCATCAACAGCGGCATCTGCTGGGAAAAAGCTAGGCCATTTGTTTAAGGCTAAGAAGTAGTTATCTCCACGTGACCTTCTCACTCTATACAAGGCCCAGATAAGGCCTAGCCTCGAGTATTGCTCACACGTTTGGGGTGATGCCGCCGCGTCTACATTATTGATGCTCGATGCTGTTTAGAGGAGGGCTGTCCGACTGATCGATGACTCTTCTCTAACAGACAGACTCGGGACCCTTTCGCACCGGCGAGCCGTCGGCGATCTAGCTCTCTTCTACCATTACACCAACGGGCTTAGCTCCTCAGAGGTCTCTTCCATGATGCCGAGGCGCGATATGCCTGCCAAACAGACCCGTCTGACTTTGGCCTCCCCTCCTAACCATGTCGAGCTTCATACATCCAGAACTGGCTCCTTTGTAGGGTGTCGAGATTGTGGAACAATCTACAATAGGAACCTTCCCCTCTTAGGTAGTTCAAAAATCGGATTAATAAGTTTCTTTGGGATCCTCATAGTAGCTGTGGTGTCCCAGCAATTAGGCTCCTGCCTGCGTAGCTGCTTCGGTATAAAAAAAAGACAAGTAGTCCTGCAGAAACTTAAATGAAAAACAAAGGCCACTCACAGGCATGTCTGCAACAGAGGAACAGGAGCAGAAATAGAAGGACATGCCCATGATTGTCATTTGTTTTTCATTAATATTTCAGCCACTTGTTGAATTTTACTCAGAAAATGTGGTATCCTTTTATATATAAATATATACAAACTCACCATATACTGATTGACAATAGAAAAATTGAGCTGCTCTAAAAGATGTCCTTTATGTATTTCAGTTGATGATTGACAAGCTTTGACATAGATCTCAAGCATTTGTCTATCAACTTCATAGAAACTACTCGTGATAGAAGTTTCCTTGAAATAATATAAACACTGAGAAAAGTGTTTCTTAGCCAGTTCATAGTCCTCTCTGTAGAAAAAATACATGCCCAGATCATAATTTATCTGCGAGCAAAATTCATCCTTCTCTATTTTTTGGCTCTTTGACCAATCTAATTCCACATTATCATTAGATTCAGTGGGTAATGGGAAGCAATCAAATGTCAACATTTTTGGTATAACATCATGGCTTAAAGAGGAGACCAGAAATGATATTGTCTTGCTTATGTTTTCTGCACTGCAGATGATGTTTTCATTCAGAGGTGATACATCATTTACCCTAGAATACATCAAAACATACTTTCAATTTTCATGAGTTGTATTAATCTACAGAAAAAATATACTAAAAATTAAAGACAATATGCAACATGTTTTGATATGCAGTGTGTCCATCAAACATCCACACCATAAAACATAGCGTTCATGCAAATTTTTAAAAGAAGATCTTTACAAAAGGTTCAGCACATAAAAAGGATTCTGTTGATGATCAATATCATGACTTCTGAGGTCATTTGGAGATTAAATTTGTTAATTCAGATAGCAACTGTCTTTAGTCCATTTTTGTACTTGATGTTAGGGACCTATCAATTATCACCATGTTGTGAAGAGACTTAGTTCAAGAAAGGTTTGAACAGAAGTTTTGGGAGATTAGAAAGCTAGGTTTCTTGAATCCTTTCCCCAAATCTCCATAACATATTGATGGGCAGATCATTTGTGTTTGTGGTCAAAATTCTATGTAATAGGTTGTACTTATTGGTCAATCTGCCCTTAAAGATAATAGCAAAATACTTACATTTTTTGTATATCTATACATTCTTACAAAGTTAAAGCTCTAAGTAGGAGTGACCATGTAGATTGCTTACAAGTAAAATAGAAATATTTGCTTACCCATATCTTATTTGCCAATTTGATGTGACTCTATGCATTGCAGTATTCAATATCCAGCGGTGAAACAAGACTAGTGCAAATAAAAATTGTGGTGAGATAAAGGATATCTCTTGCTCTAAAGCTGTTGGCAAATCAATAACTGTTTTGTTATTGGTAAAGTACATTAAATCCTGTAGTAAAGTTATTTGAGTCTTGAAAGGCAGTTGCCTTATTTCACCTAAAATAAAACTGTAATGCAATATAAATGGAAAATGCAGATGAGCCTGACTTACCTAAGCTCCATTTTAAATGAGCTACTATTTTTAGTGACAGAATTTTTAAGGCGATGCTCTTTGTAGAATATTTTTCCTCTACATATTCCAAATTTTCTAAATGGTCTATTTCTGTTCGGTTTTTCATGCTTTCATTGATCACATCATAAAACTTTGTTATCAGTTCAAGGGGAGAAGGATCTGGAAATTATAAGCATTTGAAGCAAAAGCATAAGTACTTAATTTAAAAGATATTGAACCAACCTGGAATGCACTTCTGTAAATGTTTCAGTAATAAACTGGGGTCCAAGAGAAATTCAAACCACAAAACTGTTTCTGGAGATATAGGCACAGTGCCTGGTCTCAATAATTCTACATCCATAATTATTTGGATACCTGCAACTCCAAAAAAAACTATAAAACCCGGCACCCACCGTACAGGCCCTTTTTTGTTTACTAAAAGATATACATCACAAAACCACTACAAAAATACACTCTACACTGAATTTATAGGTTAGTTTTTGGTTTGATTTGATGTTCGGCGTTTCACGGTTTGAAAACACTTGACAACGGCTGCGTTCACTAGGGGTGCGTTTGTAAATCACTTGGCAATGTAACACCATACACAGAAATGGAGTGTAGATAAATTATGTCCTGTAATGACACTTGATGACAGCCCACTAATTTATAGGTTTCTGCGACCATTGTAGTTATTATGAGACCCTAGGAATGAAAAATATATATTCTGCCAATTTTGAGCAGGTTTTGGTAACCATATAAAATAAACAATGAACCATGAGAATGAAAAGTGACAAAATTCTTATTCACAAGGTTTCAAGCTCGAGAAGACTTTTGCCATTCCAGAAGGATTACTATTATTTCCGAACGAGTATAATGCGGGTCCCACACGATGCTTCCAACATTGTATATAACGTTGTTTACAACGTTCGAAACCCCACAATTGGCAAGTGTGTCTCCTACACAATGGGTTCGACGCATGGTGGTGCCAACGTCTATTATCGGTGTCAGTGTCGTGCTTGAACCTTTACAACTGAAGAAAAAATTATACAAAATGAACGATGAAACAATTTTTTCGAGCGCCGAAAAATAATTTCAGATCTGTCTTCAGCGAAAAAAAGTCTGTCAGAAGCCTCAGGAATAACTCCGCCTCCACTGTACCGATTTTCAAAAACTGCAGATCTTTTTTGTCATTTGCATAAATAACCTAGGTTCAAAATTTCATCAAAATTCTCCTAGCACTTTCAGAGTTATTATTTATTTAATCGTTTTCGTTAGTTATGACATGCAAGTCAATATATTTCTCAACTAGTCTTGCATTGCAATAGGACATTATAATGAAACAACTGTAAGCACTTGATAATTTATAATTTTGCTAAAATATATACCCTTAGGCCAGCCATAACTCACCTGCGAAACGTACAGCATATTAAGTATATGAAAAAAGTGTTGTTATGATAGCCTATGCTTTGTATGCTTACTAATTTAATTCATTCTCCTCAAAAGTTAGTTACGGAACATATATTATCATGGATAGGTGGGTATTCAAATGAAAATACTTCCCACATACCATTACTTCACCACAATCACAGCAAACAAGTAAATCATGTTTTTCGCCGCTACTGGGTCTAACCTAAAACCATCAAACACATGAAATCTTCTGTGGAAGCGTAACGAACCATGCTTCCGTTGTAAGGTCCTTTGACGCGGGTCAAATTTACCGACAAGAGCTCGAACGTGCCATGTGGCGAACGTTGGACACATGTAATCCGTCAGCGCTCTCCCACAAGAATGGACATCTGTTCAACGTTGTATGGCATTCGCCACATCGTGTGGGACCGGTTTAAGAGGCACGTCAATAATTACGAAACGAACGCTGAAATTGTTACAGAGTAGTATAAAGTACACTCTGTAACAATTTACGAACGCGGCCCATTCCACGTTTTAAATTGTTGTCTACAAAATAAACGGGCATTTAAATTGTTTAAAAGTGAACGCCGGCGCAGACGATCAACATCTAGGTATAATCTGTGATTTAGGTGAAATGAATCTTAAAAAGTAACGAGTGGTGTGCGTATGGTGCGCATCTTGGGCGTAAATTTGAACGCAGCCTCCGAGTGGGGTTGTGGGGGTTCAACGATCAGGTGACTAGCCACTGAGTTCATTATTGACCAATTCTGCATCCAAAATCCATCTTCACTACTGTCAATTTGACCAACAAATGTTTTAATAACCTAACTTTGCCTCAACGTGTAACGTTTTTGGTTATCATTTTTTATACCAATGGTGCAAAAGAAGATGGTTTTTAAAGATGTTGTGAAGACAATTGATGAAGATGAAGAGGTTTCGGACTACTCAGAAGATTCCGATGAGGAATTAGAGGTAAAACAAGAAATGTTTAATATTTTTCTTATACTTCACTTTCCTTCATTTCATTGCAGTTCCAGCCGTCCAAACAAAAAAGTAGAAAGAGAACAGATTTTGACACAGGTTTTGACTTTCTAACTTCTGTGGAGGAGTATAATGAAGACAAATGGAACGATCTCTCAAAGTATATTAAGCGTAAAGCCAAGTACAAGACTGATGATAAAATAAACACAGTCAGGAAGAAAAGGGCACTGGAAGACCAAGATGAAGCTGCAGATGAACCATTAGCTAAAGAGGAACTTGAGCTTTCAGAAGATGAACTAAAACATGATAAGATTAAAGTAAAACAGAAAAGGATAAGAAAACATAAAGAGACAGATTCTGGAAGTTTTTTCGAAGATGGTGACATTGATACTAAAGATGCAAGCTTCTATCAAATGAACTTGTCTCGTCCATTACTTAAAGCTATTGGGCAAATGAAATTCGTGCACCCTACAGCAATTCAAGCAGCTACTATACCAATAGCATTAGAAGGCAGGGATATATGTGGGTGTGCTGCTACAGGTACTGGTAAAACAGCTGCATACATGTTACCAACTCTGGAACGGCTTTTATATAGACCTTCTAGCGGAATACCTGTAACCAGAGTGCTGGTGCTAGTTCCTACAAGAGAGTTAGGTGTTCAAGTATACCAAGTAACTAAGCAGCTGTGTCAATACACTGATATACAGATAGGGCTAGCTGTGGGAGGATTGGATCTAAAGACGCAAGAGAATATTTTGAGAAAAAATCCTGATATTGTTATTGCAACACCTGGTAGGCTCATCGATCATTTAAGAGGTACACCATCCTTTAATTTAGATGCAGTGGAAGTTCTCATCCTTGATGAGGCTGATAGAATGTTAGATGAGTATTTTGCTGAGCAGATGAACGAGATTATCAAGCAATGTTCAAGGTAATTTGTTAAGCACAGTCAAAAATTAAAATACATTGAATATTCAATGATATTCAGTGTTTCTTCTATTTGATAAATATCTGTTATGCAGTGCTTTTCAAAAAGGTGCCCCATGTTTCTTTTTTGAATGGGTCAAGTTAGCAAGCTGAAATTCAAAATGGTGAAATTGATGCATTGATACTATATCTTCTTCAAGTGGAATCTTCCATATTTTATATATTCAAGTACACCCTTCTAAAACAAGGTGATGTAACATATTTTCATTTTGTTGATTGGTAGAATGTACAAAAATGCACAACTTTGACAGATAGATATTTTGAAAGACAGTGATTTTGTATTATAAGATTATAAAGGACTCACAAGGATTTTCAAAATGAGGTATCACACAATCCTTCATTCTATTTGAAAAAATGTTTTAAAATGGCATCCACCCACAATCTTGAAATTTTGAACTGCCACTTTTAAACTAACATAGTATTTGTGCATCAATTTCATAACAGCAAATTTCTGCTTGCTAACTTGATCCATTCAAAAAATGAAATGTATTTTAGTTGTATGAACACACCAAATTCTGAACATATGGTAAACAGAAATATATAATAGAATTAACACTTTCATATTAGAAAAGCCATACATCCAACTACTAAGACAACATTAAATGTAGAGCTTGGTCTACAGTTAGTGGATAGTATGAAACTCCATGGTAGCTGGTTCGATCCAGATCTCTCTTTCAACTGAGAATGTGTGCCTAAATTTAAATAAAGGCTATTATGCCATATTTCATATGAACAAATATTTAGACGAAAAGACCCTATTATCACTATACTATGCTCTCGTATACAGTCATTTAGCTTATAACATCCTATGCTGGGGTAGAGCTTACAACAGAGTATTTATCTCACAAAAATGAATGATTAGATTGTTGTTCAACCTTAGTTTTGGTGAAAGTTGCAAAAACACATTTATTCAAAATAAGCTCCATGTATTTATGTATGTAAGTGTGATAACTATGTAAAGCAAAACATCAATGATTTCAGCATACAAAATGAACATCACACCTATAAGACCAGAGATTCCATTTTGAAAGCAAATCATTTTAGAACTATGACATATACTAAATCACCCCAGTTCAACTACATATGTTATCATTGTACAATACTCTACCTCGAGATCTGCGAGATATAGAGAGCTACATGAAATTTAAAAATAAGGTTTTTAAGTGAGAAATGTTTTTACTCTATAAATGAATTTTTAAAATTTCAAAATCAGTAAGCATTATGTTTTTATTTTATATTTTTTATATAGTGTTTTAGCAAGTAGCTATTTTTGTCTAGTTTTGACCTTGACCTTGCTGAATGAACTTGTATTGTACTTTTTATATAGTTTTATTTATAGTGTGGTGTAACCAACTCTGTTAACTCACATTTATTGTGAAATTTATACTACTTTTCTTTTGAGATGCCATGTGAACTTAGTTTGAAATTTGGCTAAATATGCTACTACTACTACTAGTACTACTCCTACTATTACATTTATTATTGATACTTGGGCCATTTCATGGGAAGTGGACAATGAAAAAGATGAGGTTTTAAATTTTGTTCATACTGAACACGATTTTTCTTTCGTGTTATGTTTATTTCTTCATAGTATTTTTTGAATTAAACAGTATAAACAGTATTACATTGAAATATTAAATCTAGCATTTTAAATAGAAAATTTTCTGTACTTGTAGATAAAAAAACAAAATCGACTAAAACTTCTGTGCAACCCTGTATATTTTTTTTCTCGAGTGAAAGCATTCACTTCTTATTTAACCAACCAAATGTTCTTTTTATAGAACACGTCAAACAATGCTGTTTTCTGCGACGATGTCCGAGGAAGTTGAAAACCTAGCAGCAGTCTCTTTAACGAAACCAGTCAGGTTATTTGTAGATAGTAATAAAAATGTTGCCTATAATTTGAGACAGGAATTCATCAGAATAAGGCCTGAGCGAGAATCTGACAGAGAGCCGATTTTGGCTGCTCTTGTGTGCAGAGTTTTCAAAGAACACTGCATGGTTTTTGTTCAGACTAAAAAGCAGGCTCATCAGATACACATCATGTTGGGTAGGTTGGATGCTTCTGATATCAAAAATAATTAACACAATAATTTGAAGTTGCTATTGAAAACATGTTCCTGAAGCTTTCAAAGTAAGCTGTAAAGGCAATTGCTATGAAGTGGTTTATGCAGTCATATTACCATAAGTGACTTTTTCTGAAGCTTGAATTAACAACAAAATGTAGGATTGCATCAATAGATGTTTTTTTCAATAGGTGATGAATCTTTTTTAATGCTTACAGGTTTATTAGGCCTGAAAGTAGCAGAACTCCATGGAAATTTAACTCAACCGCAACGATTAGAGGCTTTAGAAAGGTTCAAAACGAAAACCGTCGACTTTTTAGTAGCAACAGATGTGGCAGCAAGAGGACTTGATATACCAGGAGTCCAAACGGTCATAAATTTTGCCATGCCTGCTACAATGGAACACTACATTCATAGAGTTGGTAGAACTGCTAGGGCAGGAAGAGCTGGTGTTTCTGTTAGCTTAGCTGGAGAAAGTGAGAGAAAAATTGTGAAAGAGGTATTTGTAATACACTGTTCATTTTTATAAGTTAGAAACATGACAATAAGTGCTAGGTAACAAGATCTGTTTTGTATGAAATAGAATGGTTCGAGATTCCTTCGTTCAAATGCGTATGTACCGTGTGGTAATAACGTCACGCTTCATGCACAAAGCATGTCGTCACCAGCAAAATTATGCACTAAAGGGGGGCGGGAAGCTTTGCGCAGTGGCAGTATCGTAACCAATGAGGTTAATCCGAGCTACGATTATTGCTAGTTGAAAACTTTAGCTTTGCTTATTTTTGGTGACATGGGTGATTACACCAGCAATATTTGTTTTTTATTTTTCGGAAAGTTTAGTCGATTTTGACTTGAACACATAATAGCAACCCTGATTTGTCTATGTTCGAAAGCAAAACGTATCTTCAGTTATTTCCCAAAGATATGCTTACTCAGAATCATAGGTATAAATGCTCCTGGTAGAAATGCAGAGTAGATCACAGAATGGCTCCTCTGATGCAAAGTATGTTGAGCTGGGAGAGCTAGATCTTCCTCATTTTACAGACATTAAATGGTATTCAGAACATGTATGTGAAAGCCAATACTTGCTTCAAATTGTCAAATGTACCAAAATGTTTACATAAGCATGGGAAAGGGAGGGATAAGAGATTTGCTTACTTTTGCTGACAAGGGGGAGGTGAGGGCTAATAATAGTAAAAAATCTGCTTATGCAATACTTGAATGGCCCCAACGACATTTAAGCGACAATTTACGTTTTTATGCTATTTCAGAAATCATTTTTATTTCAGGTTATAAAAAATGCCATTAATTCAGTCAAAAATCGAGTCATACCACCGGACGTTTTAGAAAAGTACAGAAATAAGTTAGAAAAACTAGAACCAGAAATTGCTGAGATTCTTCAGGAAGAATACCAGGAAAGGCAGTTGAGTAAAGTAGAAAATCAAGTCAACAGAGCAGAAAAATTATTAAAAGGTGAAGCAGAAGAGAAGAGACCCTGGTTCCAAACAAACAAACAGAGACAAGAAGAAAAAGAACGATTAAATGCTACTTTCCAAAAAAATAAAAGTGATAAAAAAGATAAAACAAAACCCAAAGGCAAGAGTAAGGAAGCGTCTCATGACAGAGTCACTGACGAGCTTAGTAAAGTTGCATTAGTACAAGCGAGGCTGGCAAAGAGAAAACACAAATTGAAAAAAATCAGTACTGTGAGAGATGAAACGGTCAATTTAGGTGGTAGACAAGGGAAAAAACAAAAATCCTTCTTTGGTGAGACGAAAGACAACACCAAAATAAGAACAATTAAAAAATCTCCCAATGTTAAACAGAAAGGCAAATTTAAGGGTGGTGCAAAGAATAAAAAAGCTGGAAAGGTTTTTGGAAAACCGCAGCAAAAGAAAAAGAAGTAATATAAGGCTTATGATTCACAGTGTTAAGAAATTAGTGAAGTGTTTAATATCATGTTGAACAACTGTATTTTTTATGTAAAATATTTTGTATAATAAAAGTTTCATATAAACTTAACATTTATCAGTGATACTTATTAAATCTAAATTGATGAGATGTCTCAAGGTGGGTCTGCCATGTGGACAATTCTGGAAAAAAAGTAATACTTGAAAATATCCAGTACATGCTAAATAAAAAATAAATTGACATTATTGATAGATAAACAAACTCCCTCAGATTGAGATTCATAAGAAACATTTGTTGTTGACTTTTTTACTTTTAGCTATCTGAAACCACTAAAGAGAGGTTTAATGAAAAAAATGTTCATTTTTTTTGTGAATAACTTCCTTATTCAAGCATTCAATTCTACGAAACTTAGTATTTTTATCTGCAAAATTGTAACAGCATAACTATCAAATATGTATTTCAAAACGGAATATTTGAATTTAACAAATTGAATAATGATATTAAACAATGTTCGAATTTAAAAATGTTTAAAGAGACAATAATGTGAAATTACAGGAAAATGATTAAAAAAATGTGTGAATGAATAATTATACAAAATTGACATTGTAGCATTAATGCTAAATAAATCTTCAACAAAACAAAAATAAACAAAACTTAAAGTCGGAATAAGCATTCACGTTTTTAACATCCAACATGGTTAATACTAAACTGTAAGCTGTAGCAAATCGGCCATAATTACCTTCCACTCTAAGCAGAACCATTTCAGTGGAGATGCTATACAGCTATGTCTCAATGAAGGCCTCGCACACAAAACATTGGTAATATGCTTGGGAATAATTTTTGATGAGCACTTTGGGAAAACTGGTTTTGGTTAATTTCGCTGAATTTTTGATGTTATGCGTCTTGGCATCCTGAACAAATGTTTCAATGGTTACAGGCCCCCAAGTCGGCATAATGGAGTATCGGCCCTACTCAATATCTACTTTAAGTGGAAGAGTGGTTTAGGTCAATTTTGTTATTTTGTTTTTGTGTCTTGGTGTCCTGAATAAATGCCTTAATGAGCACATGCCGCAAGACACATCGGGTCCAAGATATAGGCCGTCTGGGTCAGTATAATGGAGTAATTAGTCCTACTCGAATATGTGCTTCAAGTGAAAGAGTGGTTTCTGTTAATATTGCCAAGTTTTTCAATATGTAATGTGCCTCGGCATCCTAAACAAATGCCTTAATATAAAAGGCCCAAAAACTTAACGGGTTCCATGATATAGGGCGTCCAAGTCTGTATAATCTATTGGTTATACGTAATTATACTAAGTGACATAAATCCGAACACCCAGTTTAAATGGTTTTATTTTAATAAAAGTTGGTGAATGTATTTATCTTACTGTAAATAACAAGTGAAAAAATGTTCAGCCTTATCAGTTGGACATTCCGGTTTTTATACTGCTTTTTTTTAATTCACTAACGCTCTAAAAATGAATATTTCAGCCGCAGTAAAAAATCAACGTTGGCGGATTTTGGTTCTTGACATCCTTTACGATCGGTTACGATGCCTAGAGTACGGAGACCTGTACGATTTCGTCAACTTAGTGAGTTTGATAGGGGCCGTATAGTGGGACTTCGGGAAGCTGGACTTTCTTTTCGGGCAATTGCAGTTAGAGTGTAGACACTGTGGTTAGGTGTTGTCAGGCATGGCTTCGAGAAGGCCGTACGCAAAGAGCAAGGGGCACTGGACGCCGCAGTAGAAAAACAGACCGTGAAGATCGCCGCCTAAGATTATTGGTCTTAAGGGACCGTTTCGCCACTACCGTGTTTGCAGAACACGGAAGACCTATTGGCATGCGAAGTGTTTACCGACGAATGAGAAGTTTTGGCTTGTTTTCATACCGGCCACACTGGGTCCTCCCTTTAACTCGAGAACAGCGACGTAATCGCCTTGAGTGGTGCAGACAACGGTCACTCTGGGATCAGGAATGGAACAGTATTGTCTTTAGTGACGAGTATCGATTTTGTTTAGTCATGCACGATGGTCGTGCCAGGGTTAGAAGGCGACGTGGTGAAAGGAGGAATCCACAGTTTTTTGTTGAAAGACATGTTCATCACACTGTTGGAGTTATGGTTTGGGGTGCTATAGCTTATGGTTCCAGGTCACCTTTAATCTTCTTCAGAGGTAACATGAACGCGCAGCGTTATATCCACGAAGTTCTAGAACCCCATCTTTTACCCTATCTTGACACCCTGGCAGATCCAACTTTCCAACAAGATAATGCCCGACCACATGTTGCAAGAGTCACAATAGACTTCTTTCAACATAATGATGTCACATTGTTACCATGGCCACCAAGATCTCCCGACTTATCCCCAATTGAGCACGTGTGGGATATGATTGGTAGGAGATTGCTCAATTTGCAACGTCCTCCTCAGACTCTAGAAGCACTTCGAGAGGAGTTGGTGGTTGCCTGGAATGAGATACCACAGGAGGACATTGACCACCTGATCAGAAGCATGCCTAGGCGCATTGGAGAATGCGTAGCACATCAGGGTGCATCCACACATTATTAAAGGTCAAAGGGCTTTAAAGCAGTGCAATCATTTTGAAATTTTTATCATTTACTTATTATGCTTCATTAAGTACTTATACAAAATTTTATTAAAATAAAACCATTTAAACTGGGTGTTCGGATTTATATATCACTTAGTATATATGCTTTAAGTGAAAGAGTGGTTTCGGTTAATTTTGCTTCATTTTTGATATGTTATGCGCCTTGGCATCCTGAACAAATGTTTCAACTGGTCCCAAGATATAGGCCGTCCAAGTCGCCAAAATGGAGTATCGCCCCTACTCAATATCTGCTTCAAGTGGAAGAGTGGTTTCGGTCAATTTCGCTAAATTACTCACATGTTATGTGTCTTGGCGTCCTGAATAAATGCCTTCATGAGCACATTCCCCAAGACACAAAGGGTCCCAAGATATAGGCCGCCTGAGTCAGTATAATGGAGTAATCAGTCCTCGGCATTAATGGACACAGGCCCCGCAACCCAACGGGTTCCATGATATAGAGCGTCCAAGTCGGTATAATCTATTGGTTAGGTATACTGGAATATATGCTTTAAGTGAAAGAGTGGTTTCGGTTAATTTCGCTGATTTTTTTATATACGTATGTTATGTGTCTTGACGTCCTGAATAAATGGCTCATGGGCACAGGCCCCAAAACTCAACCGGTTCCAAGATATAGGGCGTCCAAGTCAGTATAATGGGGTATCGCTTCATCTCAGATATCTGGTTCAAGTGGAAGAGTGATTTTGTTTTTTTTTGCTAAATTTTTCATATGCTACATGTCTCGGCATCCTAAACAAATGCCTTAATGGGCAGAGGCCCAAAAACTTAACGGGACCCAAGATATAGGGCGTCCAAGTCAGTATAATCTATTGGTTATAGTGGAATATATGCTTTAAGTGAAAGAGTGGTTTCGTTTAATTCCGCTGAATTTTTATATTTATTTTTTTTTTTTATATCGAAACAGCCGCGCAGGCAGAAGCCTAAATGCCGGAACACCGCGGCTGCTATGGTGATCCCAAAGAAATTTTGTTAATACGATTTTTGAACTGCCTAAGGTTAGTAGAACTGGGAAAAGCTTCCTCCCGTAGATTGTTCCACAATCTAGACACCCTCGGGACAAAGGAGCGGTCGTATCGGCCAGTTCTGGATGTACGAAGTTTGACCCGGTTAGGATGGGACGCCGAAGTCAGGCGGGTCTGTCTGGCAGGCACATCGCGCGGCGGCATCATGGAAGAGAGCTCTGAGGAGCAAAGCCCGTTGGTGTAGCGATAGAAAAGAGCCAGATCGCCGACGGCCCGCCGGTGCGAAAGAGTCCCGAGACTGTCTGTTAGAGAAGAGTCATCGATCAGTCGGACCGCCCTCCTCTGGACAGCATCGAGCATGGACAATGTAGTCGGGGCGGCAGCACCCCAAATGTGTGAGCAATACTCGAGGCTAGACCTTAACTGGGCCTTGTATAGAGTGAGAAGGTCATGCGGAGAAAAGTACTTCTTAGCCCTAAACAAATAGCCTAGCTTTTTCCCAGCAGCTGCAGCTATTGAAGAGATGTGTTCGTGCCAGATCAGGTCCTCGCTGATCTGGACTCCGACCAGCCGAAATGAATGGCTCTTTGGTAGAACTCGACCGTCCATCGAAACTGTATGAGCGCTAGGTCGCTTTTTGTTCGTCAAAGTACAGTACTGTGTTTTGGAAGCATTGAACTGTACAAGATTGTTGCGTCCCCAAGCAGTGATAGCCTCCAGGTATCTTGTCAGAGAAGAAGTCGTCGCTAGTCTTCTTTTTTCCAGCTCAGCGGCAGAGATTGGCTTGTCACTCTGAATTCCTGCATGTAGAGTGCTGTCATCAGCGAAGCTGTGGATTGGGTTGATCGTGCAGGAAAGGAGGTCGTTGATATGTAAGAGAAACAGTGTTGGAGCCAAGACCGATCCCTGGGGAACACCCGCGTTGACGTTGTGGGATGAAGATGAGAATCCGTCAATTACGACGGATATCTTGCGGCCCGAGATAAAGTCAGCCACCCATCTGCAAAGCTTTTCTGGGAGGCCGTAGGATGGAAGTTTGCTTAAGAGGGCAGCGTGCCACAGCTGATCGAACGCTTTCGTGATGTCAAGAGCAACGACATGAGCCTCACCATGAGACTGGATGAGTTTACTCCACAGTTGCGTGACGTAAGCTAGGAGGTCCCCTGTGGATCGTTGGTGCCGGAAACCGTACTGCCTGTCGCTAATCAAGCTGTGACGTTCGAGGTAGTCCAGAAGCTCGCGATTTATGCACCTCTCCATCACTTTACTTATAACAGAAAGCAGAGCTATAGGCCTGTAGTTGTAAGGGTCGGTTTTAGATCCTTTTTTTGGGATGGGCTGTACATGAGCAAATTTCCAGTTTTCTGGGAAGGTGCCGGATTCATAAGATATCTGGAAGAGACGCGAAAGAACTGGAGCAAGCTCCGCTGCACATCTCTTCAGTACAATGGCAGGAATCAAGTCCGGACCAGAAGCTTTGTTGATGTCGAGCGACAAGAGCACTCGTCTTACGGTCTTATGCCTGAATGTTACCTCCCGCATAGTGTGGGGAACCCTTTGAATTGACGGCACTTGGGCGTTGGTGGTCCATGGTGGAGTTGGCAGCAAAGATCTTGGCTAGCACTTCCGCCTTGGCCTTTGAGTCGAATACAATAGTTCCATCCTGACACGTAAGTGGTGGAAGGCTACTGTGTGAGAAGTTCTTTTCAATCTGCTTGGCCAGCGTCCAGAAAGACCGACTGCCATTGCGCTGCGACATTACCCTGTGCCTAACTTTTATATCATGCTGGTTTTTGGCATTGCGAACCGCTTCGTTATATTTGTTTCTGGACTCGACGTCGCGTCGGCTTGTCTGTTCTCTACAGTGGGGTTTTGTAAGTAGGTTCTGTGGGCCTTGATCTTCTGCTGGCGAGCAGTGTCACACGATTTGTTGAACCAGCCGTTGGACCCTGGTTTAGGAACTTTCACTGTGTGAGGGATGTATTCCTCCATTCCCACGTGGATAATTTCGGTTATTGAAGAACAGACAGTCGACGCATCCGCGTCAGTGAAACAGACATCTCTCCAAGGAAAGCTAGAGAAGAAGTCTCTGAGCCCCTCCCAGTCGGCATGTCCGTAATGCCAAGTTTTGCGGCCTGTGCGAGTTTCTGCTGCCACAGCGGCTTCTGACCGAAACCTAACCTCCACAACACCGTGATCTGAGTTACCCAGGGGGGACAGGACAGCAGTGCTGTAAGGAGCAGGATGCGTGGTCAGAAAGAGATCCAGCAGGCTACTGGCGTGTGACGAGACGCGGGGGAAAAAAGTAGGGCTCGTTACCAGCTGGGTCAGCCCTTGAGTAAGAGCGAACGCTTCGACTGCACGACCTGCTGCATCGGTCTTATTTGAGCCCAACCAAAGCTCATTATGAACATTGAAATCACCGAGAAGAACTACCTCTGAAGCGGGGTGATTGATGTTCAGGAAGTCGATCTGGACGGCGAGGTTTTCGAGTAGGTCATCCCAGTTATGGTTCGAGGGAGAGCGATAAAGGCAGCAAATAAATTTGGGTGATGTTTTGGAGTTGAGGCGAAGCCACAGAATGTCCTTCCGGTCTGATTCCAAAGAAAGATCCCTGGAGCAGGAAAGACTGCTGCGGACAAAAGCCACAACTCCCCCGTTCTTTCTCAGATTGGAGTGCACCTCGTAGTTTGGGAAGTTGAGATGGTTAATCGGTGCAGTCTCTGAGATTTTTGTCTCCGCCAAGAAAAGCACGGCGGGACGATTGGATTGCAGGTAGTGATGAACAGCATCAATGTTGCTGTTGATCCCGCAGATGTTCGAAAAACAAATTTTATCTTCGATGTTGTTCCCTCGAGCCCACCCTCCACCCGGACATTCCGAGAGTGGAGTGAGTTTACGTCCGGAGTTTTTAGTGCTCGAGGGATCCATCATCATTAATTTCTTTGTTTTGGTAGTTAACCGACTGCATAGCTTAGGTGTGGAAACATGCGGACATTTATAAGACACCCTGGGAAAAGCTAGCGGGTGGTACTGCCTCGGTCGACTGGTCCTTGTCTACCACCTTCTTTTTACGTGTTAGTGATGTTAAATAGACCTAAAGTGGCCCGTTGGCGGACTTGTACCGCCACCCGGCAATCGGTACTGAGGTATTCCTTAACGCGTGCACAATCACTTGGACGGGAAGAAGTTGTATACTGGATACAACAACTTCCGGAACAAGCATTTGCCACGGCCCTCGCTCAGTAGGGGCTGAATATGTTATGTCTCGGCATCCTGAACAAATGCCTTGATGGTCACAGGCTCCAAAATTCAGTGTCCCAAGATATAGGCCGATCAAGTCGGTATGATGGGATGTCGGATTTACTCAGCTATCTGCTATATCTAGAAGAGTGGTTTCGGTTAATATGATATGAATAATTTTTGAAATCTCATAATATCGCGTCATCCTGAACAAATATCTCAAAGATCACATATAATTGGAACCACATCTCTTTTACATTAGGGTTGGAAGAATTAGACTCAATGAAGTTAGTAGCAGGTAGGCCGACGAATCGGTTAACCGTCTACGACTCAACAAGAGCGATGACAGTGACAGCTCCGTAGTGTATTTTTCTATATAAGGGAGACTGCTACATGCGCAGCCGCACATTGATTGATTACGTTGTGAGAGGACATTTTTAGGTTATTCGTTACTTGTTGCAATCTACAATCAGTTCATTACTGAGTGCTGCGCAAGCATTTTCTGTTTAGTTTTCCATGGCATTATATACTTTTTGTTGGTCGTTTCTCATATTTCGTTTATCGTTAATCGTGTTTTGTTTTTGGTCTTTCGTTTTTCGTTTTCCATTTTCGTTTTGATTTTTCGTACTGCTTTAATTTCGTTATTTTTAGCATTACGTGTAGAGTTTTAATTTTGAGCTGTGCAGCTTTCATTTTATACTATAGCAGCGAGCATGACGCAGCGCATGCCATGTTATGTGTGTAATGAAGTGTTCGCTATTTGAACCATGCGACGTGAGGAGCTGAACCACTCTGCTATTGTGATAAACGATATATCATGTATTTGTTTTAACTGTGATTTATTACTTCGAAGCGGCCTTACAAAATCGCGAAAGTCTTAGGTTGAATGTCAGACAAAAATCCTTTGAAACATGTATGATATGTAATCACCTGAGTATAAATTTGAACCACCTTAGTATTGAGGCTCGAGCTGAAATATATTTGGAGAGTAACATTTACGTCCCTCAAGCATCTCAGATCTGTTCACACGACCTCTTTGAAAAAGGATTTCGTCTGAGGAACGTTTATATAGAAGTCAGTAGATTTTTTACAAGATCAAGAAAATCGACTGTAAAAAATTTGACTGATGAAAATTGTACTTATCTTACTTCGATATCAAAAGCTCAATTCAATAATTTACATGAGTCTTGCATTCCGTTCATTGGAGGTAATAACTTTCGTGGTTACCACAACATCTCGACCTATATCTTGGGACCCATTAAGTTTTGGGGCATGTGCCCATTAGGGCATTTGTTCAGGACGCCGAGTCAACGTATAAAAAATTCAGCGAAATTAACAGAAACCGCTCTTTATCTTGAAGCAGATATTCGACTAGAACCGTAATCTCATTATGACTTGGACGGCCTACATCTTAGGGACCGTTGAGTTTTGAAGTCTATGCCCATCAATGCATTTATTTTGGACGTCGAGACACATAACATATGAAAAAGTCAGAGAAATTAACCGAAACCCCTCTTTCACTTAAGACACACATTCGAGTATAACTAATACATTCTACTGACTTGGACACCCTATATCTTGGGACCTGTTGAGTTTGGATTCCGAGTCACATAACATATAAGAAACTTGGCGAAATTAACAGAAACCACTCTTTCACCTGAAGCAAATATTCGAGAGGGACTTATTACTCCATTATACTGACTCAGACGGCCTATATCTTGGGACCCCTTGTGTCTTGGGGCATGTGCTCATTAAGGCATTTATTCACATAACATGAGTAATTCAGGGGAATTGACCGAAACCACTCTTCCATTTAAAGCAAATATTTGAGTAGAACCCCATTATACCAACTTGGACGCCCTATATCTTGGGACCCGTGAAGGTTAGGGGCCTGTGCCCATCGAAACATATGTTCGGGTTGCCAAGACGCATGACAGATAAAAGATTCAGCGAAATTAACCGAAACCACTTTTCCCATAGGCGTGTTGCCGGGTCCTTTATTCAAAGCTCTTTTGCTAAACTAAAAAGCATCTACATCTTTAAGCATGTGTTGTCTAAAGATACTAAAATTAAGCTTTGCGATTCCGTCATTTTAAGTAAGATAGAATATGAGAGTTCCGTGTTTGGTCCTTGTTTGACTCACACTTTATGCTTGGTTCATAGCATGTTATTGACCAAATACCCTATAGATCTAAATAATAAATTGTCTTTGAGAAGTCAACATCATGTGGCAAACCTCCGTTTCGTTGGTTACACCCTTAACACGCCCTTCCATAGAACCACCCTATTTACTAACAGTTTCTGTTTTGTTGCACCCTATCTCTATAATAAGCTCACTGCCAGCTTTAATGTTTTGTCAGTGCCACATTTTAAGTCAAAAGTAAAAACTTTGTTTTTGAAAATATGTCATAGCGTCGATTATCCGAACTAATTGGGGGGTTTTCGGAAAACCGGTTTTTTCGGATAATCGAACTGTATTGATATAGCCATACATATTTATTTATCCACGGGTGAATAAAGGCCATATTTACATACCTTCATAATTATATCTTTATTGAAAAATAGGAATTAAAAAACAAATAAACTGCAGTGTTTGCAATAAAACATTCTATGTACAATATTGGCGAAAATATTTTAAGTGTTAATTACTAACGCTTAAAAAATCTTCAATTTTCGTCTGCCGAAATAAGCCTACCCGTTTACGAGCAGCTAGGTCACGTACTTTTGGTCGCTCTCGGCTTGTGTTTCAAACCAACGCAAGGCAATATCTAAGCAAGTAAATGCTTCTGAAGCACCAATTATGTTTTCATCTTCATTATCTGAACTTGCAGTTGATGAGGTGCTAGCTGTGGTGTCAGTTTTATTAGTCATCAGATTTAATATTTCGCTGCAGAATTTGGTACCCGGGATCATCATCATCAAAATCCATCCATTGTTCAACTTCTTCTTAATCACATTCCTCGTTTTTTTAGCATATCTATCATTTCAGAAATATCTTCCTGTTTTTTTATTTAGATTATCACTTTCAGGATATATTCCACTAAACACAAAACTTTATACCACGCTTTTTTCAAGTTCTGCTCTTTTACACTGTTCCATGCTGCTCCTATCATGTAGGACGCGTCTTTCAAATCAATCTTTTTATGATTTCTTAACAGGCTTTCTTCTCCCTCCTCTTCTTTTTCCAAAAGTAACTTACGTAACAATTCTTTTCTATAATACCGTTTAAAAGTCTCAATAACGCCTTGATCCATATGCTGTAATCTGTAATAATGAAGTCACATTAGGTGGAAGAAACATGACATAAAATCGTCTTTATCATTTAAGATGTCACATGATGGATGAGTCGGGGCGTTATCTAGAAGCAATAATGTTTTATCTCTTTTACCATTTTTTAATTGATGGGCTTTAACCGAGGGTATAAAAGTTTCTATACACCATTCCATAAAAATTGTACTATCCATCCAAGCACTCTTTTGCGAAGTGTAAACTATAGGCATCGCAGACATATTAACGTATTCACAACAACGTTGTTCTTGGTTTTACCAATGACAAGCATGAGCAATCGGTGGCTGCCAGTAGCATTAGCACAAGCTAAAGCAGTGATACGATCCTTGCTTATTTTAGGTCCAGGTGCTGCTAATCCATGACGTGACGCAAGAGTTTTTCTTGGCAAAACTTTCCAATTGAGCCCAGTTTCATCTGCATTGTAAACGTTTTCGAGGGCGTAATTTTCTTCCTTCAGTAACACCCTCAGTTTGATTTTGAATGAATCTGCTGCTGATGAATCAGCCGACAGTTTTTCTCCCTGTATTTGCAGCTCACGAATGCCATGTCTCGACTTAAATATTTTCTACCAGCCTGTGCTTGCTTGAACATTTGATGGCCCACCGAGTTTATCGTTGAACTGAAGTGCTTTTTCACACAGAATCGGGCCAGAAACAGGTTCTCCCTGGGACTTTTTCTGAGTAAACCACTTATATACAGCATCATCTAAATCCGTGTTTGAGGAAAGTTTCATCGTTTTACGACTTGTCGATCCGTCAGAAGAATCAAGCTGGGACATAAAGTTACTTATGCTCGTCTTTTGTTTTTTTATGTCCGTAATGTGTAGACTTACCAACTTTGAATTGGTTGGATTACTTTGTTGCAGATTCACCTTCCTCTAACCGTTTATTAATCTCGTATGTATCTGTCATAGAAAGAACAACACGCTTACGTTTAGGCATTTTCAAACGAGGGCTTACTTTCACGCGACAAAATTTAGTTTATTTCCTAGCGGCTACTCGGAAGTAACTAACATACGAATAATAACTAACAAGTCGAAACAAGTGCGCGCACGAGTGCGGGGCGCGGGAGAGTCGGGAGTTCGGTCAAGCCGTCGTTCGGTTGATCGACGTTCGGATAATCGACGCTCCTACTGTAATTATATTGACTAGTTTTTAACTTGTGCAATGGTGTATCTGCTAACTATTACTATATCCGATATTTTTGGGTCGGAATTAAAATTTTCCCTATTTTTATTCTACTTCCTTTTTGTTAACACAGCTGTATATACTTATTCTCAATCTCCACATGTAAATTTTAGCATATTGGTGTTAATTGTGAGTTATTCCCAAACATTATATAGTAATTTTGTTTGGCCCTGGTTGGTATGAAAAGCAGCTTTTAGATGACATCCGCCAGGTTAAATAAATATTATTATTATTACAACTCCTGACACTTAACCGGTGGTTATCTTGCTGCTTCATCTCCATGTCGTCGTTTTCTGACCACTAAATGAAACCATAAATGTTGGAATAAATAGTTCACTGATCTTTTGGCTACTTTGATAACCGTTTTCAAAGTGACTGGTCTTAAATGCAGTGTAATTTCCATATTTTAATCTTTATATTTTGATTATGAGAAACTATGCAGCTAAAAGATTAGTAAACATTTCCTCAAATGGTGATTTTATTTAGCGACAACAACATAGATATTAGTGAATCCACTTCATTACCCCTTATTTTATGAAGCAACGTATCTGTTAAAAAAAGCATTCAAGGAAAGTAATCTAATACCCACCCAAGGTTGGTCAATTTCGCCCATATGATCAACAAGCCTCCTCATGTCTGATTTGGATAGACTTTTCCCAATCATCACTGATTTCCTACATGCCCTACTTGCGAACATAGCTCTTACAGAGGATGGTCGAATTGTTGTTTTGTTTGATTCCTACGGGCATAAGAAGGTAGACAAGTACTTCAATTTGCAAAAGGCTATCTAAGCTACATTTTTCAATACAACCGAGATCCATAGCTAAAATTATATTCACTGTCTTAACTATTATCATCATGTGATAACATTATTACAGTTTTGTAAACTGGAAAGGGCGCACAGTAGATCTGTCATACTTAGTTGCCTAGACACCAAGCCAAGGAAAAAGTCAAAAGAAGGGAAAGGAGAGAATAAAGAGGAGGTGCGCTGTTGGAGTGATATTATGGAGGATCGTATTGAAGACAAACGATGAGGTCTTGAGGCAGAGGTATTGAGAAGAGACCAAGCTGAGACTATCTTCATAATAATCATGCAGAGAATTTAGCATTATCACACTTTCACTGATTGTTTAAATGTGGATTTTTGTAATTCACAGTGACAGATTATATGTATCGCAACACTCCACCAGTCTCGAGATCCGATTCAGTGTTTACAAAGTGCAGTTCTTTAAGATACTATACCTGCAGCATAAATAACATCTCATCGATATCACTTTTATCAATAACGAAATTCCGACTCATAGGTATAGATGTCAAAAAAACTTTCTTTGTGCATGGAGCTGAAAACAAATTAAAGGTAATATTATAGCATGTGTCATTTACATAACATTTAGATTTTTAGACCTAAGTTCAAAATGTATGACTATTCCTATTTGTTGAGAGGAAATAAATGAACATTATGACCTACCAGATTCATCAATCTTAAAATTCATTCCATTTTTCTTAAAAACATCAAGGTTCTCAATTAATAAACTTTCATTACCAGCAGTGAGCTGTAGTGGTTTGGGACTGAAACATAAGCGAGTCAATAAAAATTAAAAACCAATGTTTGTGCAATTTACTTCACCAACACCTGGCTATCCAATGTAGTATTCAACTGCAACTGTTCAAAATTATATTTTTCATCCGTGGCATGTTGGTCTATTATGAAGAGGTCACTATCTAACTGTGTTATTATGAAACCTCTGTTAAACTGGCCTATAATCTTCATTCTACTGAAATCTTCTCTTTTAATTTGTTTTTGTAACTCCTCTTCAGCTAACTTATTATTATCTGGGCTTATGAGAGATCTGAATCGGACTTTTATATTGGCATCCGTTTCAAGTTTAGTTGCATCCAATCTTTTTCTAATGTCTTCTAAGCTAACATTAAGGTTTGCCGTTTTTCTTTGCCTTGCGGCAGCTGGTTCCGAATCCAAAGTTATTGTAACATCACTATCATCTATTACAGGTATTGCTTCATCTTCTGAAGAATGATTCTTTTCTTTTATTAGTTTGCAAGCAACCTGTAATAATTCTTCCAACTTGTTATCGGATTCATCATCAGAGCTCTTATAACTAGTATCTGAACATAACTTTCTTTTTTTAGATTGTAACGTATCACTTTGAACCGAATCGTTGGAAAATGAGCTTGTACTCCTTTTTAGAAAGGAGTCTAGATTACAACGGCCTTCATCGATCGAGTTATTGGAAGACGATTTCGTCGATTTCCCGAATTTTTCTAAGATGCTTCCTCTTTTCATATGACCAATAAATTTATTTTTCTCTTCTTTGATTTGATTAATTGTGACGCTTGAAATATCCAAATTTTGGAATTTAAAAGTAGAGGGGAAGTTTTTGAAAGCTTGTAGCAAAGACGCCTTAACCGTAGCTAAAAGAAGGTTTTCATTTTCTATGAACACCTGTCGTTTATCAGGTGTGACATTGACATCCACTAGAAGCGATTTGGTAATAATGTTCAAATACACAAAAGGATATTGATTTGAGTTATGTTGTTTGTAGATTTCGTTTACTAGTCTCATAAGTCTAGATGGTTCTGTTGGCCTTGAATTAATATAATAGAACTGTCTATCGGTAGTGCTACGTCCATTGCCATGTATGACACTAGATACTAGAAATTCAAAAGAAAAAGGTGTATCGAATTCTTCTGGAATTTTCAAATTGAATTCATTTAAAATCTCCTCGTCTGGCAAGACTGTTTCAACGTCAATCAAAGAGGATATTTGCTTGCTACCAAAGATACAAGTTATAGCATCTCTGACGTTCTTTTTGCCTTCTGTCATTACAACTATATTTCTAGATCCATGATTTGTGGTGTTGATACAAGTGAACCTGAAAGTATTTGTAAATTTTAAGGAACACAAGCACCAATCAAGATCGTTCATTACTACTTATTTCACTTTTCTTATAGGAAAATGATTCCCTGCCAAACCGGTCAAAATGTTTAGTTGCTCTCTGTGCCATTTCGTAAGGTTTCCAAAAGATAGGGAGTGCAAATTATTCCAACAGTAATAGTGCATGCATAAGATATCTGAAGTTGTGGGACTTATTTAATCGCTTTTTTATTGTTTTCTTTTTGATATGTTGTATTTTACTGTGTGAATAAATTACTATACTATTACTTCACTTTGTGTTGTTATTAGACTTTAAATTCATTTTGAAGGTAAAACGTATCTATCTACCTCTTTGTTGAAGAAGTATTGTATGAGCTACATTGAAATAAACAATACATATATTATTAGATTAGTAATTGAATCTGACAATTGCAAATAATATTGAATGTTATCATTAGATTATACTTAAATGCTATCCAAAATGGATATTGTTGAATTTTTGAGAAAAAACATTGTGGTTGGGCATAGAGAATAAGGCTTGTTCTAAGTTTAATAAATGTAAAACATTAAAAGTGATCCTTGGCCCCTTTATAACTTGGGAAGTACATCTTGAATTTTGACGAAATTTTGACACAAGATTACTATTAGGGTCTTTAACCATTCTAAAGGCCGATTTTTCATGCCGTTATCACGCGAAGAAGCAAAAAATGTCGCAGAATGCTAGCCTAACCAAAAGAGTTGTTCTGCTGAACACACACACACACACACCATTGTCTGGCCAATGAATAATGATACACATCTATTTGGCCATTATTGCTAGCAAATAGCACAATGAAAACAATCATGTACATAGGTCTGAGGAAATATAATAAGTTACTAAATCAAATAAAAGATGCAGATATAATAGTTCATTCCAAGAAACCACTTGTCATGTATATGAGAAATAGCAATGCTTATTCAGTATGATCAGATTGTATCAATATATTTAGTGAATACTGATCAGCTTTTGAGATTCTCAAACCATATTCCATAATAATATGCTAAAAAGTGGCAGATAGTTGCTATTGTGTCTTTAACTAAGAATATAAACTGGTGGACTGTTGCTTTGCGACATGGAACATTTTACCTAAATTCAAATCACGATATTTTCGGAACGGAAAGAGATATCGCGTTGCGGTTGCGGATGAGCAAAGGATGTAAGGTTTTTTTAGGAAAGTTTGGGGCTATGTAATTGCAAATTTTTCTATACATCTTTTTGAGCTTTGGACTATCCTAAAAAAGCGATCTCTCAAAATTTTTCGAAAGATGGCTATAACTCATGTTATCGAATTTTTAACTTCCCGCAATCTTTCGGCTCGACCTCGTGTTTTTTGGATTACCCTCTCCATGCAAATAGGGCATTTCTCTTGTTTCATCCTAACTTCCTACACATCAAACATGCAATTGCTAAGTAACACTAATATTGACTGTATGCTTAGCAGTATAATTTTATTTTCTCAAGAATGCCTCGTCTTTTTCAAAAAGAACGAGAGAATTGTGTAAGATTATTGGGAGAAGGTCGTTTAGTGGATGATGTAGTCTTAATTTATAATGTTCATCGGCCCTAAATATACCATTTAAGGATAGATATCGGGATACCGGGCAAACGTCTACTTGCATAGAGGAGGTAATCAAAAAAACAATACAAGATCGGCCGAAAGACATTTATTGCAGGAAGTAAGGCGAAGGAGGACCCTTTCGTTCAGAACTTTGAATGAAAACTTACGGCGGCACAGTGAATAATAGCATCCAATCGTACTGTAAGAACTTTAAATTCTCATTTGTTAAGGTATGTAAATGTTATAAAAAATTTGCTAGGTACCTTTTTAAAGCAGCATTTCTTCCAGAGCAAGGCGTCGCGCCAAGTGTACCCGACTCTTAAAGAATCATAGAGTCGTCAGGTACCTATGGACACAGGAGCACGTAAATTGACATCAACAGTGCAAGTTTTCCGATAAAACACGCTTCAACCTATACCACTCTGATGGTAGGGTCCTTGTTTGGACGCAAGCTGGGTGAACGATATGATGAGGGAAACATGGCTCCACAAGAAGCGTTCGGTGCAGGTGGCATTACTGTTTGAGCTGAGGTTATGCAAAATGGTAAAATCGAACTTTTCATTTTAAACTGCACAGTCAACGCTGCAGTTTATAGGGACAACATTTTAAACAATATTTTTATACCTTTTATTTTATTTTGGGAAGGATTTTGTCTTCATCGATGATGAACGTCAAGCCGCACAGAGGTCGTACGGTTATAAACTTTTTGGTAGGAAATAGTGTTACATTATTGCCTTTGCCATCAAAGTCTCCAGACCTAAACATAATTGAGCATGTGTGGTATCATTACCTATCGGCAATGGCGCTCCCACGGGAGGGGTGAAGGGGGTAATTACCCCCCCCCAGACGACTCGAGCAGTCTTTGAAAAGGTGGTATAAAGTAAACGTCTTATAAAAAAATCTGTAACTAAAGAAAGGATAGCGGCAACACTTCCAACCCGCTCAGTGCTCATGCGACTAGCCACTACTCTCCCACCAACAGCAACGGTGTGCGCTTCTTCCTCTTGGAACAGGTATAGTCTAGTCTTTTATGGTCTAGTCTAGTGTCTAAATTCTGTACCTCTCCGGAGTCGGCAACAAAATTTGGCTGAGAAGTGAAAAAGCGGAGTTTTGTTGATCTGGTTGGTATTAACGCTATTTTCTAAGTTCTATTGATTTTTTTATTTTCCACGCATAAGCCAGAAAATTAATTTTTGTTTATTTTTAATTTTTATACTATAAAAGAATCGCGCCTAAAAAAATGACAGACGGAAAAATGGAAATTTAATATAATTTCAATTACGAAGTGTTTGGTCCATACTCCAGCTATCATTATCATCTATGTCTATTTTGTCGAGTGTTATTGCAAAGATGATTCTAAATTGTGGAGAGCCGCGGGACTGTAAGCGCGTTCATATACAGGGTGTCCCGAAAAAAGTGTGCAATATTCTACCACCGGTTTCTAGAGCTTAAAGTATGAAGAAAAGTTTATAAGTAAAACATAGGTCGACAAACTTCCCCTAAGGGCGCTACGGTCTTTTAAAGAGGCTCCCCTGAAGATGGTTTTTCCTTAATATTTCCGAAACGTGTTGAGATAAAGACATAAAATTTGATATTCTAGCCTAGTTTTTTATGCTGGATTTAAAAATATTAACAATTTTAGACATTTTTGTTTGGAAGCGTATGTAACAGGGACGGACTCAGGTTATTTTAGCCGCAAAATTTTTTATGTGATTCTATTTTTGAAATTCAATTTTAGAATTTGAAAATTTAGGGTTTTCTACATAAAAAGGTACTCTTATTAAATATCAATAAATTGTGCCATTTTTTAATAAAATCAAACGAAAAAATTTGTCACATGATAGGAAATGCACAGCGAATTTAAATGAATTGTTGAATAATTAGCCATAGCATCGAAAAAACATTAAATAATTGTTAAATATTACATAAATACATATTTCAATTGCAACATAGCTAAGATTTAGGCAAAAACAAAAGAAATAAATTTTTTCTACGAACGAAATTGAAATTTGTTTAAAAAGGAAGACATACAGTTAATATACTTAAAACTAGGTTTACAATAAGTGTTCAAATAAATTCCCATTTTGTTGGATACAGAGTCTCGATCGACGAACTAATGATTGCGTAGCCCGAAAAGTGGAAAACCTTTTTTTTCTTATTTCATTTGCAGTCTGATGGATTCTTTGAAGTAAATCTTCTTGAGTCTTTACTTCAATCGAGTAAACTAGGTCTTTTAATGACCCCCAAAAATAGAAATCCAATGGATTTAGGCCAGGTGAACGTGGCGGCCACTCTATAGGACTTCCTCGGCCTAACCACCTGTCTGGAAAATTGACATTCAACCTATTTCGAACATTGCCTCCAAAATGTGCAAGGGCACCATCATGTTGAAAAAACATATTTTCTTGAAACTGCTGGCGCACATCCATGAGCTCATTCTGAAGAAAGTTCAGATACACCTCTGAATTAAGACGATTGGGAAGTACAATAGGCTCAATTACTCGATCCCCAATTACTCCTGCCCATAAGTTCAATGAAAATCTATGTTGGAAATTTGTACGACGAACAACTTTTGGATTTTCATCTGACCAGTGATGCATGTTATGGAAATTAAAAGCACCATTCCTAGTAAATATTGACTCATCCGACCATAATGTTCTAGGAATAGTGTTTTCATTTGCTAATATCCACTGGCAAAACTCGATTCGTGGTAAAAAATCTGCCTCCGTTAAATGCTGCACCCATTTAAAATGATAAGGATGTAATCCTTGCATTTTTGTCATTCTTCCTATCTAAAATTATTATTTTTAGGATAAATATCAAATAGGTACTAGGATACTATTGATCGAGGTATATCCATATTTTCTGAATCATTTCGTATGCTGATTTGCGGATTATTTTCAAACATGTTTAAAGCAATATCCATACGAATCTTATTGAATATCGATAAATTGTGCCATTTTTGAATAAAATCAAACTAAAAAATTTGTCACATGATAGGAAATGTACTGCGAATTTAAATGAATTGTTGATTGTACATAGTTAGCCATGACTGCAAACAAAAGTTGTAGTGATTTGTTATGACTTATTTTTACGTTAAGCTGACATTGTTAGCAGTGTAAAATTACTAGATTAAAATCCAAAATTTTATTATTTATTTAAAATGCCAAGATTTACAGACAGAGAACTGACTGACATGCATTTTGTGTACGGGTTTTGCAATGGCAGTTCATTGGCAGCCGTAAGAGAATATCAAAGAAGATTTCCCAATCGCATAGTACCTGAACGTCGAATGTTTACTGATATTCACCGGAACTTGTCAAACCATGGAAGTTTTCAGCGCATGCACGGCTCAGGTAGGCCACTGGGAAATCATCGTATGGATATTGCTTTAAATATG